AATTGTTCAATTCTTTCGACGTATTCGACCTCGTCGACAAATTGCACCAATACGTGAAGCATTATATAAGATGAAACCATCTCGAAAAACGTTTGTATATATTTCTAAATACATTCATCGACACTCACATTCTTAATTCTAGTAGTTCGACAAATGCCCGTGCAATTAAGAAAAAAAAATCTTCAATGACATTTCCTTGGTGGTGTTTATTTATTGCTTATGGTCTTTCAATGATAATTATTGCTATTTCAATATTTTTTATTATTGTTCGAGGAATTGAATTTGGTGATGTCAAAACTCAACAATGGTTAACATCTGTTCTTACTGGATTTTTCTCATCGGTTATTTTTACTCAACCTATTAAAGTATACCTAATATTTTCTTTTAAGCTATATTTTTGAAATATATATTATTACAGATTATATGTTTGGCTATATTCTTTATATGTTTTTGTCGAAATTCAAAAGATGAGAAAGAAACAAGTGAATATATAAATGAAGATGATGGATTTAATATATCTAATGATGAGGAATATCTTCATTCACTTGAGGTTTGTTTTCTTTTAGAATTCTATAGAAAAATTAATTTTCCATTTATAGTATCGCTCAATATTTTCTTCTCAATCTCGAAAAAGTATTAATCGTCTTAATGAAAATGAAATTGCTTTCGCTCGTGATCAACGTTTAAAAGAAATTCAGATGTGGTCAATTATTCGAGAATTTATGATTTATTTTATATTTGCCATATTAGTTTTTGTAATAACTTATTCAAACCGTGAACAACATAGTTTTTTTCAAGTCAATCATTTACGAGCTTATTTTCTCAATCAAAGACAAACGACTGCTGATTATACTGAAGTTTGTTCTTCTTTTTATTTATTGAAATGAATTTTGTTTTTTTAGATCAATACAATCGATGAATATTGGTACTGGTTAGAAAATAGTTTTGTTTCAAATATTCGTGCACAACAATGGTATAATGGAGATATTCCACAATATTTAAATGGATTTTTAAATGATAAATCTAATCGATTAATTGGTTGGGCAACAATAAGACAATTACGTATTAAATCAGAATTATGCTCCGACCGGCGTATTATTTCAATATGTGAAGACAGTTATAGTTTTTCTAATGAAGAAACAGAATTATTTCAACCAGGATGGACAACAAATGCAACGACCGAAGAATTCAGTTCATCAGTGATAAAAGCATTTAACTATTCTACGAGTGATGAATTAGATACATATTCGTATATAGGTGAATTTGGAACATATAGAGGAGGTGGTTATGTATATGAATTTCGTGGTCGTTCATCTGATATGAAAACAAATTTATCTGCACTTCATCAATTAGATTGGATTGATGAGAAAACAAGAGCTGTTTTTATTCAATTAACATTATATAATCCAAGTGTTCAATTACTAACTGCAGTTACTTTACTTGCTGAATTTTTACCAACAGGTGGTATTTATACAACAGCTCATTTCGAACCAATTAATTTCTACAGTAATTCATTCTTTAGTTTTTATTTCTAAAGACAAATGAATATTTTTTTTTAAATTTAGCATTTACATCAATATTACAATTAGTTTGTACAATTCTTTATATATTTTTTATTATTTATTTTATGATCATTGAAATTCAATTAATATTTGAATTACGATTAAAATATTTTCATCAATTTTGGTCATTAATTCAATTAGGTATCATCGGCTGTTCATTAGGAAGTATTGGAGTTTATTTTTGGCGTTTTCAAGAAACTAATCGTATAAGTCAATTATTTGAACAAACAAACGGATATATTTATATCAATTTACAACTTGCTGTTTATGTTAATGATATTTTAACATTTCTTCTTGGTTATTGTTGTTTTTTTAGTACGATTAAATGTCTTCAATTACTTCGTTTTAATCAACAAATATCGTTATTCTCTAAAACATTAAAATATTGTGCAAAAGCACTGATTTCATTTGCAATAATGTTTGCAATTGTATTTATAGCATTTCTTTGTTTATTTTATTTATTATTCGTATCAAAACTTTCGTCATGTTCAAGTTTATTAAACACTGCTCAAATGCTTTTCAAAATGACATTAGTCAAATGTGGTGCATCAAAAATAGTGGGAGCTGATGCTTTTCTTGGTCCATTCTGTTTTACGTTATTTATATTTCTAGTTGTTTTTGTTTGTTTCAGTATGTTTCTTTCAATAATTAATGATAGTTTTTGTCATGCGAAAGAGAATCAAAAAGAAGATCAAATTATGTTATCATTTATGCTAAAGAAATTTTTACGATGGACAGGTAAAGTTATTGATTGGAATGACAACTTCATTCATTCTTATGGTTTGTTTAGGATTGAAAAAATCGACTAAATCAGAAATTCAAGAAGAAAAAGATTCTCGAATGCGTTCACAATATTTTCATCCAATTGAAAATTTTCCCGACAGAATCGATCAATTATTAGAAGCATTTGATAAAGTATGTTAATATCAGAAGTATTTCTATTTCAAATTATTTTGTATTATACTTCTAGATTTATGTCGATCAACAAGCAGAATTATCAAGATTAGAAAAAGCTGGAGTTTAAGTGTTGTTTCGCAATTATGATTATCGGAAGATAATTGATATCAATATGCTCAATTTTAGTTAGATTTCAAAGCTTTTTGTGCGCGTGTGTTTGTAAATATTTTATATGCTTATATGATTTTTGCTTAAATAAATCTTTAAAATTAATTATGTGTGACTAATCTATGAAAAATGTAAATAATTCCTTGATGAATTATTATGAAAGATGATGTGAATTATCAAAGAATAGTGTGCAAAAGTATACCACATCATTCAATAAGAGTCTTTCATATATTTTATCCTGTAAAAACACCACTAATTGTGTTGTGCGTGATACAAAAAAGGTTACCTTACTTTATAAATCGGTTACTCATAGAAAAAGTACCCGTTAAGGACTCGAACATTTCTATTCATAAGAAAAATTTTTATCCAATACCAAAGTGCGGAGAGAGAACGAAGAAAATTTTTTGTTTTTCTCTGTTATAAGAATATAGACACGCACTTTCAATTTTTCATTTGACGACACGCACGTCCTTCTGTAAGTAAACGGGTGAAAGTGATTATTTGAAACAGCAGAGGACATTTTATTTTTCAACATTATAATATTTTTTCTTAATATTTTTTAGATGCATTAGAATTAGCCTTATACCAATATATTGTTTAACGATATATTTTCTACAGATGATATAATTGCGGAAAGAAAAAAACGTATCCAGATTGAACATATACTAACAATCGGCCGCTTTATACTGTAGAAAATAAGAAGTAGAATTTATTAAAAGATTAGAGATGTGTGACAATATACATTCTACTTTTTTACTACTACTATGTTATATCTCAAGATTTATCTTTTTTATACTTTCTGGTATTTCGATAGAGTAACAGTACGCTATGCTTCGAGCAAGAGCTTAATATCTTCTACTGAGTATTACTGAGTTGCCATTAATAAGCATGCTATTATATACTTTCGAGTTTTTGAAATAGAACAAGAAAATATCAAAATATTCGACTCAAAGACATAATTTTAGAGTAGTTGCATTTCTTTGCCACTCACAATCGCTCGTCTGCCCCTAAAATCGATCTCCTTCACGCTTCAATCGTGCCACCGAGACCCACATACTCATGTCAACCTGACCTACTGCTCACGGACATCTTAACATAAAGAACACGAATGTCAAAGAATAATAAAATATTTGATTATTTTTGAGACGCGAGATTTTAATGTCAACACCTATTAGCAGCGGTATAATATTTATATGAAATACATGTATTCATATATGCATCTATAACTATATAGACATATAATTTTATATTGGGGACAAAGTATTTTATTTCTTGTGTTCTGCGCTGATCAAAGTAGACTGCAAAAAAAGAAAAATAACAAGAAACAAATTGTTTTTCATACTTTTCTATATGTATAAAAATAAGAAAAGGTAATGTTGCACTTTTTTCTATTAACCTATAAACCACCATCACTTTGTATCATGTTCCCTATGCTACATATATAACTCAAATCATTATTTAAAAATTTGAAAAATCTTCTAATATATTTTTTGTTGTTGCTATATATACATTATAGGAGAGTAAGAAAATATTAAGAGTTTTTGAAATACGCTTATAAGTATCTATACAGACAATTGAAGCTTTAAACACCCATGTAAACACCAAACGCAACTAAAATGAAACATCTGATCGGTATAGACGCACTCTACTTAACTTGTTTTTTAAAACACATCGAACAGCTTTAGATATTCCCTTTTAGCTGCGTTAAAACATGTCTACACATGAACGCGTTTAGAAGGAACAGATTTTATATCGGATAGAATACGATAACACTTTCTTTTCATATTTATTTTACTGCTCCTCTCTATTGAAGTTAACGAAGCAAGACTAAATATAATAAGAGCGAGAAAAACAAGCCGTCTTTGTAAAATAACGATAATAAGAAGGAAGAAAGAGAAATGGTAAAATATTTTATAAATTTAAGTTGTCCACACGCGACATATTTTGTCAAAGTATTAAAAAGAATAAAGAAAGAGAAATGATTTTCAATAATCAATATAAAAGAAAACGAAGAACATTTAACACCTTTTATCTTAATAAATATCTGAAATGTTTAAAGAATTCATTTTCTATGCTTATCTATTCCACTTTAAGATAAAGTTATATATGCTCATGAAAAAGTAACGATAGATATAAGAGACGGAAACGGACAAGTCAGTACTGCGACTACTGTGAAATTATAAAGAGGCGATTTAACATACCTATGAGTAAATAGTGAATGATCCATTACAGAGAATAATTGACGAGATTTTCACTCTAATATACTTTTAACTAATTAGAAAACGAAAGAAATTTGTGGATAATAGGATAATACTTCAATAAAACTCGTGTTTGAAATTATTCTTTAAGATTTGAAAAATCATATTGAAGTAAATGGATACGGTAAATCTCGACGATATTCTGAAGCACAAGAACGCACCTAATTTATTCTTAAAAAATGATCGAATTAATCAAATTTTAAGTTTGATTAGCAAGGTCAATGGATTAAAATATGCACTCATTTGCCTGGGTATTTTATTATCATTCTTCTTCGTTTATATTATTCTTTTATTTGTTTAGGATTAACTCTCATTTTTTCAATTTACTTGGTATTTGGTTGGGGTAATGATTTCATCTGTAACTTATCTACAACTATTCTACCTGTATTTACTTCGTAAGTTAATTTTTATGCGCAAATTGTTTGTATGATGGCTACTCAAATTCATTTGAAAGAAATTTTTATCATAGAAATATCACAATGATATATGAGAAAGGCGTAAAAATCTATTCAATTTGATTTCATCTCCTCCCAGTCTCAAGATATATGCTTTCACTAGACCCGACATCTGATAAGATTGAATTTAAAATATTATATTTTGTAGAATATCAGCTGTTAAATCAACAGAACCATATGATACAAAATCATTGTTGATCTATTGGATTGTTTATGCAATACTCGGCTGCTTTGAGTATTTGGCTTGTAGTTTATGTAATTCATTACGTATTTATTGGCTTGTTAAATTTATATTTCTCACTTGGTTTTACATATCTGGTGCCGCTAAGGTTAATAAACTTATTCAACTTGATGGTATTCTCAAAGATCTTGAAAAAAGTAAGTATAGTAGAAATATTTCGATTTTCCAGCCTATAGTTAATTATAAGTCGCTCTGTATTTAACACAGAAACGGACTTCTTTCGTTGTCTCATGTCTATCTTACATATCATGGTTTTCGTAAATATATTTGTATTATAGAAAATGAAGAAGAAAATCAAAATGTAGAAGAAGTCGAAAAACAGCAAGAAGAAGAAGAAGAAGAAGAAGAAGAGGAGGAAGAAGAAGAACAAAAAGCGAACGACGATGAACCAACTGTCGAACTTACTATAGAACAAATTATTGCTCAAAATGGTGATTCTCCAACGCTAAACTTACAAATGAGAGGATTAACTAATGAAGACATGAAAATTATTGGCAATACATTAAAAAATAATAAGGTAAGAAAATACAAAATTTATTAGTAGGAATTATTAAATGAAGAATTGCAAATATATAAATAATCTTTAACTTTTCTTCGTTTTTCCGATTAACTTATATTTCCATATGATTGACTAAGTTGCCTGTTTAATCATTGTTCTTTCTTCCCATTCATAGTACAAATAGCGAGTGTTGCTTAAACAGTAGACCGCCTCTTATTTATGCACTACACGTTCCATATTACCTATTTATTTTCTCTTATAGACGGTGACTAAACTCGATCTTGTATGCAATTCGTTTGAGAGCGAAGGAATTCAATATCTGGCTGATGGTTTAAGCAATAACACAGTAAACTTCTGTCTTGTTTTTTTATCTCTTTCATTTTCATTTTCATTTTTCTTCATAGACAGTAACCGAACTCGAACTTGGTAATACTGGTGTTTCAGATGACGGTATCAAACATCTAGCAGATGCTTTAAAAACTAATACAGTAAGATTTTCTCTTTCTTTATTTGTCTCATGTTTTATATTTACTTCTTATATAGACACTTACTACAATTGGACTTTTTAATAACAAAATTGGTATTGAAGGTGCACGACATTTAGCTGATGCTTTGAAAAATAATACAGTAAATCTCAGTTTTTTCTTTATATCGCTGATTTTTATTTTTATTTTTCTGAATAGACTCTCGAAAAGATCGATCTCGGAATGAATCAGATTGGAGCAGAAGGAGCTCAGCATTTTGGCGATGCGTTAAAAAATAACACCGTAATACATCATTCTTTTCTCATCTCTCTAATTTTGATCTTCATTTTCTCTCGCAGGGACTCACAGAATTTCACATTCAAGCCAATGAAATAGGAGACAAAGGAGCCAAATATCTGATTGATGCTTTACTAAATAATAAGGTAAACATATCGTTTTTTTGTCTCTCATGCTTATATCTGTATTGTTTCATATAGACACTCAAAGTATTAGGTATTTTCAGCAATGAAATCACAGGTGAAGGATTCATAAATTTGGCTGATGTACTACAAAAAAATACAGTGAATATCATTCTCTTTTTATCTATCTCGTTTGTATCTACATTTCTTCATATAGACACTCATCGAACTTCCTCTTCGCAGCAATCCACTTGGAGTGAAAGGGATGCAATATCTTGCGGATGTTTTACAATATAAAACGGTAAACATCTTTCTCTCTTCATTTTTTGCATATTTCTTTACATATAGGCACTTACAACACTTGAACTAAGCTCCTGCAATATTTCGGATGAAGTGATTCAATATTTGGCTGATGGTTTACGAAAGAATACAGTAATTTTTTTCTTTTTTTCATTTTTATCCTCATTTTTGTCACACATAGACAATCACCAACCTCGATCTTGGATGGAATGAATTCGGAGACAAAGGATTTCAATATCTATTTGAAGCTTTACGTTATAACACGGTAAATATCATTCTTTCTTTAGTTCATTTTTATTTTTTTTATTCAGACACTCACAACACTCAACTTAGCATCGAATAAAATGGACACCGAAGGCTTCCAAAGTCTTGCCGATTGTTTAAAAGATAATACGGTGAACATCTTTCTTTTTCTATCGTTCTTATCTTGCTCTTCTTTTTTTTGTCACACAGACATTGACTAAACTTCAATCTTATCAGAACGGAATCGATGATAATGGACTTTCATATTTGATTGATGCTCTAGGAAAAAATAAAGTGAATTTCTTTCTCTCTCTTTTCATGTCTCATTCTCTTCCTCACTTTTTATATAGACACTCACCACACTCGAGCTTCCATCTAGTGGAATCTCATCGGAAGGAGCTCGTCATTTAGTTGAAATCTTACGAAATAATACGGTAAACTATTTTCTCAGTATTGATAGTATGACCATCTTTATTTTGCACATAGGGACTCACTACACTTAACATTCAAGGTAACTACCTAATGTTCAGCGAAGGAGCGAAATATGTGGCCGATGCTTTGCGAATTAATAAGGTGAATTTATTCTGTTTTTATTTATTTCTAATTTGCTTCTATTGCATAGACACTCACTACGCTCAACTTTGAAAGCTGTGGAATTGGATATGAAGGAGTTCAATATGTTGCTGACGCATTACGAGATAATGCGGTGAGCATCGTCTTTTTTCTTCTTCTCATATCTATAATTTTTCAAATAGACACTGACCTCAATTGATCTTGGTGGAAATGGACTTGAATCCAAAGGAGTTCAATATCTGGCTGATGCTTTACGGAATAACAATGTGAGCATTTTTTGATCTTCATTTCTATTTCCTCTAATGCTGTTTATTCACGTAGACGCTGGCAACACTCAACATCCAATCGAATCGAATTGGTGCTAAAGGAGTTCAACATCTCGCTGATGCTTTACAAAGCAACACGGTGAAACGTTTTTGCTATTCACGTTTAACTCTTATTTTGATGTTTATCTTTTATACAGGGACTCACTACACTCAATCTTAAAAGTAATAGAATAAAAAACACAGGAACTCAATATTTAGCTGATGCTTTACGAAATAACAAAGTGAATTTAGTCTTTCCTCATTTTCTTTATTTTCATTCTTACTTTTTAACATAGACGCTCACTACACTTGATATCGGAGATAATGAAATTAAAGGAAAAGGTGTTCAATATCTTGCTGATGCTCTACAAAGCAACACAGTAATACTTTTTCTAATTCATCTGCCATTTTTGATCTTCACTCTCTATATAGACATTGACCACACTCAATCTCAACATGAATCGTACCAGCAGCAAAGTTGCACAAGATGCTCTTAAAATGTTGAAGAATAATAATGATCGATTGAACGTGGCGGACTCGTGCTAGTTTTAATGGCTGACATTGAACAAAAAAACTTAAAAATTTAGTTAGAATTTGTAGTTGAAAGTAGTTTTAAAAATATATTATTTAATACAGAATCGAGTTTTCACAATTGATTTGTCTCATTTCATCATCTAAAATATTCGATGATGCAATGCATTTTTTTCTTTTCTTAACTTTGTCAATCGTATTTTATATCACGTGCATGGTATACAGAATGCAAAAGACATTTTGCGTTCTGCCGTTTATTTAAGCATAATTTTGCCATGTGTCGTCATTTCACGTAATATGACGTAATAACATGACAACATATAAAGAAACGAACAGCATTCGTTGGTATTGTATTTTTGCTAAAGTTTTAATTTACATTTATGAGTAAAAAAAAGACGTATATTAATGTCGTCGTTATGGGTCATATCGATTCGGGTAAGTCGAGTATAGGTGGCCATTTGATATGTAAATGTAATGATCTTGGCGAGCGAAATGTGACGAGATTTGAAAGAGAAGCCACTGAGGTATAGATTCTCTTTTTATTCTAATATTATCTATCTAATCTTATATTTTATACAATTGACAGAGGGGCAATAGTTCATTAAAATATGCTTTATTTATGAATAGCCTCGAGGAGGAATCTTGTCGAGGATTGGGTACTCTCCTTCGTGGAACTTGTAAAGAATTCATGACCAGTGCATATCATGTTACTATCGTTGATTCATCAGGTAATCGTAATTTTATGAAGAATATGATTACAGGTAATTCACAGGTATGTTTTATTTTCATTTTCTCTTATTCGATATAACTATGCTTAAATGATTTTTCTGTCAGGCTGATTGTGCACTTTTGGTAGTATCAGCTAGTTCGAATGAATTTGAAGTTGATGTATCGAACGAAGGTCAAACACTTCAGCATATTCTATTGGCATACACTCTAGGTATTAAACAACTGATCATCATTGTCAATAAGATGGATATAACAGAGCCACCTTTTTCCGAAACACGTTTCAATCAAATCAAAAGTGAACTAACAACTTATTTAACGAATATTGGTTATCAGTCAGAAACTGTACCTTATATTCCACTATCAGCATTGCATGGTGACAATCTTATTGACGCATCAGAACGTACGCCTTGGTATCAAGGTTGGTCAATTGATTGCAAAGATAGTTGTGTTACAGGTAAGACACTGCTAGAAGCATTTGATGCTATCATTCCTCCACAACTTCCAATTGCAAAACCACTTCGACTACCAATTCATGATGTCTACAAAATTTCTGGGACTGGTACAGTAATCGTAGGGCGTATTGAAACTGGTGTGCTCAAATCGAATATGACAGTAAATGTTGCTCCATTAAATTTAACAACTGTAGTCAAATCCATTGAGATGTATCATGATGCTATGGAAGGTAAGAAAACTGTTGTCTTTGTCTGTTGAAGTATTCGATATTTTCCTTTCTTTTTTAGAAGCTCATCCGGGGGACAACATTGGCTTTAGCGTTCAAGGTATTAGTACTCGAGAACTTCGACGTGGATTTGTTTGTTCAGATGTAACAAATGATCCAGCACGAGAAGCTGCAAGTTTTACTGCTCAAGTGAGTTTAATCTTTTTATCTATCTTTTTCTAAAGTGTTACAATGCCTATCGAATTTTTCCTAGATTATTTTCCTTAATCATCCTAATCAAATCTGTCCTGGTTATACAGCGATAGTTGATTGTCATACTGCTTATGTTGCGTGTCGATTTGTTGAATTTATGTCAAAGACCTGTCGTCGGACAGGTAGAGTTATCGAAGAAACTCCAAAATGCTTTGGATCAGGTGAATCTGGTATTGTTAAACTGATCCCAATAAAACCAATATGCGTTGAAAAATTTGTTGATTATCCAGCATTGGGTCGTTTTGCTATTCGTGAAATGCGTCAAACTATAGCTGTCGGCATTATTATAGAAGTCGAAAGGAGAGCATCTCTTGGTGGTGAAATGATCGTAAAGACTAGTTCCGCCACCACCAAAAAAGATAATACATAAGATGAGAGGTACTTTCGTAAACATTCAAACAAGTTAATGCACAAATGGACGTATTTTATTGCATCTGGTGCTTATTCTTGGAGAGTTATTGGAAAAGATGAAGAAAAATTCTTTTCTTTTTTAGAAACTTGTTTTAAAGTCTTAATCTCTTTGCTGATTGAGTATTAGTTGTAATCATACGACTTTTTCATGCTTGGGGAATATTTTTCATTTCAATTTTTTTTTGTGCAACTGTTAAAGAAAAAGGTCGAGTTGAAGAGAAAGAATAAATATATAAACCTTAGATAAAAGACAACTCTTTCGAAAAAGAAACACACACTCACCCTATTTCTGCTTACCCTCATCCTTTGACAATAGTCGATGAAGGTGTCAGTCATACAAAACACGAAATCTACACCACTGATATTTTATTTATTAACGACTAACAAAATAATAATTGGTCACATCAACAGAGAAGCGAAAAGCTCATAGTGCAACATCTTTACAAGATTGAAAGGTATTCGATTTTTAGCAATATTCTTAATAACTGAAATCTCTCATTTCATATCGAGTGGTTATAAATGGATGTGCGGCATGAAGAGAAGCGGGCGTGGGTGTCGAAAGATATAACTATCCACACTTACACCCACGCCTTTGCCATTTGTTGTCATTTCAAGTATTATCACACGATGACATCACAACATTTGTATCAAATGATATATGTACATATAAAGAAGAGTCTGGGTGTCTCTCTCCCATTAATTCACATCCCACTGCCACGCCCACACAATCATGATATCAACATCCACTCCAACCTCACATCTACACTCTTAACTATTGTCAAAAAAAACAATGTTTTTATGATATATTTGTAAGTTTATTAAGAACAATACGCGATACATTAAGAGATAATAACTATTTTCGCAATGTTATCGCTAGTTGATATCTTCGAACGTTTCTTGTATTGCTGTATTTCTACACTAAAATATCCTATCATAGCCGCTGTTAAATACACTATCTGCAAGATAATCGCTGTACGTACACGCACTGAAGAACCATATAAATAAACTACAAGATAACCAACATTTTGACCTAACCACATGTTAGAATAAGCAGCCTCTTCTTTAGTCTTAAACAAAATCCCATACAGAGCTAAATATAAAAAATATTTAGCAGATATTATTATTATTATTACTATTATTATTAATGCTAACACTATAATTCACGTTCAAATTCTACTCACCAGCTTCTACGGGATCCCAAATAGCACTTGCAATACCTTGCATTCCGACTAAGATGAATAATATATAAATTTGTGATGATAACGGGTTCCACAAAAGCATCACTGTATATGATGAGTAACATAAAAGAGCAGTTACAATATAACATGGTATACGAATATTGTATTTTCCGAGGATACCAACAATCACACTGAAAATAGAACTGGCAACACCATATGCGATCATTATGAGACCTTAAGAGAAAAAACAAGGCGAAATATGATTAATAATTTGTTATGTTTTACTGACCAACATAGGAGAGATCAGTTGTACAAGTGATAAAACTCTAGAATACGACAAAGAATATACCTTTTGTTGCTTAAAAATTGTTTTTAATTACTTACACTAGTAAAAATACCAAAAAGAAAAGCTTCGGATGTTCCAATCCAAAATGCTAAAGGTAAAAGAAAAAGTTGCTTGATAGATTTCATCTGTTTAAATGTCGAAACAATAAAATGTCGAGAATCGACTAACAAATCTTTTATTGATGTAGCTTCTAGAATTATACGAAGATTATAAACTAAGATCAAAAAATCTTGAAATAAGAATCCATACTTTCCCATTTACGTTTCTGATCAAGCATTATAATACTAAGAATAATAGAAACAACAATTAAACCCATAAAAACACCATGGAGAATATAAGTCTATCGAGTATTGAAAATGAAATATGTATTTATTCATTTTGAAAAAATATCTACCGTTGTACCAGATATGATATTTAATCCACCGTTTCCTTGTTGTTCATTTTCTGCATACTCAGCACCACAGTGCGATTCACTAGAATTTCCATTATTTATCGGAAGATTTTTGGGACTATCTCGTAAAACAAGGTATGTTACTAAATTACCCCAAATTTGACCTATACATATAAAATCAAAATTAATATTTTCAATAATGAATGTTCATTTACTAGTTTGAAATGCTGAAAAAAAAATGCCGAAATATTTGTTAATGATAGCATCCGCTATAGGTCCACTTTCACCACCAGCACTTAAATCGGTAACATAAGCACTAAGTGCTGTCCAAAAACCAGCTCGAAATATACCGCAGATGACTGAAGCTATGTTAAAAAATGGTAATAAAATATGAAATTTATTTATGAGTTTACCTGGATAGATAATCCAAACTTTAGGATACATATTAGCGGCAATATATAATAAAAATCCAACTTGAGCTAATACAATCGTCCATTTATATCCAGCTACGAAGATCAAGAGATTTGTAAAGAAAAGACATGATAAAACAGAACATCCTGATATAATTGCCAATGAATAGTAACCAACAGTTTTATCTGTATGAATACTTGATTGTAAATTTGTTATAGCATTGTAAGACGTATAAACAAGAATAAATGTTAAACAGAGGATGCTAAAATTCGTTTTTCTTCGTACAGTAGATGAATCAGTTGTCTTGTTGTTAATCATGGTTGATGAATAATTCAAGGTATTCTTAAATAAACATAGATGAAAAAATATCTTTGGAGAGACTGTATTACAAGAAAATCATCCACTCTTACAAGTTTTCAAGACCGAAGAATTAGAATCTTTAGGTAGTTTATCAAAATTCTCGATCTTGATTTGTTCTGCAATAATAATTAATTTTAACTTTTCAAATGAAAAATCTATTAGTGTAAGTCATATAGGATTAAAATATGCAGCACACTATAGTTTAGACTACTACCATGAAAATATTGTCAAAAAATGAGTTTAAGTCAGTACTACATATGATATTCTGTGTGTTTGGATTTACGATGAGTCAATGCTAAAAGCTTGTTATAGCCCATAACGGGGAAGAGTGAATATTATTACGATATCTCTCGTACTCTATGAGTAAGTCATATCCTTACTCTATATTTCAACGCTTCTTTTAGTTTGTACTTCTCGAAAAGCAACTATTACTTACCTTAAAATTCTTCATGATCTTTGTGATATTTATATACTAAAAAAAGAGGAAGTACGTAATGAAATACAAATTTTGTACTGTTAGTATCATAATAATAATAAAAAATTGCTACGATATTTGCACAGTCGTCACTTTCTTTTTGGGGTTTACCCAGATTGCAAAATGTAACGATACATATATATTATTCACAATCTTATTAAGTTACGCACTTGAATGTCTTTACAGAAATAAAAGTAACATTATTTATTCAGTAAGCAATCAGTTTGTTGTCTTCTCTTTACATAAGAACATTTGTTTGAGTAGAATGTTGTTTGATTTTATTTTTCATGAGTAAAAAAAACGGAAGTAAATTCAACAATGTTGACTTTCATGTGCGATATAAATATTGTGTACAACACTGCAGTTTTACTTATCATGGTATGCTTTATTTTTCGATACACAATGACTTGTTTATGGTTTAGTATCTTTGCTGTTCATTTCTTTGGCTTAACATCTGCATCAATAACACAACCAGAGTATGCTTTTTTGTTAGCTAAATCACGAACTGACCTAAAATCAAGAAGTGCGACAGTATCCTCGGTTATTGATATATTACAAGAATATTCTCTACAAATGAATAATACTCATCAATATGGTTTACCTAAATGTCAACAATGCCATCGTATTGGGATTATTGGTGCAGGTATGGTACTTTTTTCTTTGATTACATAATATGTTCAATATTTCATAGGAGTATCGGGATTGTATGCTGGTATTTTATTAGCAAAATCTGGTCATACTGTGGTTATCTACGAAGCGAATCAAAGAGCAGGTGGACGTGTTTATACATATCGCGATCCAGATGATCCTACACAATTTGTTGGTGAATTGGGCGCAATGCGTTTTCCTCTTGATGTTCATCCTTATTTAAATTACATGATTCGAAATCAATATCAACTGAATATCACTGAATTTTCATCATACGATCCAAATACAATTGCTTATATAAATGGGATTTCCGCAACAGTGAAAGGTGCAGAGGATAATCCAGATTTATTTGGATTCAAAGTTAATACAACAGAAAAAGGAAAAGTAAGATAATTTCTTGCAGTAACGAGTCAATCGATAATCTTTAAACAAAATGTTTATTTATCTTGCGCTATATGAGAAAGCTTCCTCGAGCAGTAAAGAAGGATGGGTTAAGACCTAACTTTCACTTTCTTACTAAATAGAGTAGGTGGGTGTAGGTGCCACTACGACTGTGGATATTTTTTTACACTCATCTTCACTCTACAGGATTTAACTATGTCCAAAAACTCAAACTTTCGATCCACTTGTTATGAATGATTTAGTTGATGAAAGTTCATAGAAAAAGAGTTCACCTTTTTTATTATCAGATTAAAATGATTGTAATTTAGACACCGGATCAATTGTGGAACGAAGCTGTAGAGCCGCTGCTCAATCTATTTTATAGTGAGGGTTGGAATGCTGTTCGAACAAAATGGGATTCTCAGAGTATCATTACATATCTTAGATCAGTTGGTCTATCACGCGCTGCTGTTGATTACATAAGTTTAATTTCAAATTTTGAAACAAATTTATTTACATCGCTTCTTGAAGCTCTGCGAGACATGCTCGTACTTCAAGATTCCACTCAGTTTTATCGAATACAAGGTGGAAGTGATTTATTAATCACAGCGATGATCGATGAATGTATGAAAATCGAAGGAAACCGATGTAGTTTATTATTAAATACTAAAGTAACTCAAGTTCAATTATATGCTGCGCAAACTGTACGAATAACATCTTCCAGTAATACGGATCTTTTCAATTCAGTTATTGTAGCTACGACAGCTACAGCTAGTCAATTGATTAATTTTAATACACGATCAAATTTCATCGATAAATATCGTTCAATGCGTCAGTTACATTATGATTGTTCCAGTAAAATTCTTCTTTTTTTTAATTCATCCTGGTGGTTCAATAATGAAAATATAAATGGTGGCCGAAGTGTAACCGATCTTCCTATTCGTTTTGTTTATTATCCACAAGATTCGAATGTTAATGGTGGAGTGTTAGTTGGTTCATATACTTGGTCACAAGATTCCTTATTATGGCAATCACTTAGTGATGATGATGCAATTGAACTTGCTTTAAAAAATCTTATCGAACTTCATCCAACAACTGGTAATAATATACGTACATTTTTTCGTGGAGGAAAAGTAAAACATTGGTGTGAAGATGAATATGCACGAGGTGCTTTTGCATTATTTACACCTCTACAAGAAACCGATATTTTTGATGATTTAAAATTATCTGTATCAAATATTCATTTTATCGGTGAACATACAAGTTCCGCACACGCTTGGGTTGAGGGTGCCATTCTATCTTCATTGCGTTCAGCTCTTATTATCCAAAAGGAAACCTATGATGTTGTAATTATTGGTGGAGGACCAATAGGGTTAGCGACAGCCGTTCGTTTATCATTAAAACAACCTACATTAAGTATTGCTATTGTTGAACAAGGTTATTTATTAAATTCCGATGGAAGTTCAGGAACATTTGATCAACGACAATTTCGACAAATGTATAATGAAATATATTTAGCTGAATTAGCTAATCTTTCTGTACCTCTCTGGCACGAGATTGAACAACTGGCTAATCTGTCTCGAGGTGCTATTCTTAATACCGATGAAGGCTATTTATTCTACGGTGATTTTAATTCACCTGAAACAGTTGAAGGAGATCTACCATCTATTCAAAGAACATGTGAATTACTTCAAATGGGTTGTATTTATTTAAATAGTACACAATTACAAGCACGATTTCCTTTTTTCAAATTTGCTCCGCATTATCAAGGTCTACTACATTCTCAATCTGGTTATATTAATGTAACAACTTTAATTAACGCACTTTTACGAATCATAGAACAAAATCCAAAAATAACAATTCGACAAAATGAGCAATTTCTTTCAATAGATAAGATAAATTATACAGATATCGTAACCAGTCGTGGATCAATACATGTAAAAAAGAAGATACTATTTGTACCTGGTCCTTTTGCCAAGAATATAGCTGATCTACTTGATTTTAATCTCAATGTTACTCTGTGGGAAATGCCATATGTAAATTTTCGATTGCGACCAAATGCGACACAAATTCCAACATGGTTTGCATGGGGTGGAAATGATTATTATTCATTATTTTCTGGTTTTCCTATTGATCCCACATCGGAGTATATATCTATCGTCGCTAGTTTTATTCAGAATTTGTCTGAACCTTTGTTATACCCTTCACAACGAACGAATGTTGCTAATCCATTTATAATTAAGAAAATTATTGATTTTGTTGCACAAAATTTATCACAGGTTGATTCAAAGGATTATTTTGTTAAAAATCGAACATGTTTAGCAACGTTTTTACCGGATAATGGTTTCCTACTTGACTATGTACCCAATACGAATAGAAGAGTTTTAATGCAAGCTGCCGGATGGGGAATGAAATTTGTTCCTGTATGGGCAGATATTCTTTCTGATATGATATTATTAGAATCAAATGATGCATCACCTTATGCGAAATATTTACCGTACTTTTCATTATCCCGACCTTATCGACTTATAACAAATGCTAATCAAGGATCCGTTACTTCATCCAGTGAATCAAATACAAATTATTCTGTTTTATATTATTTGACACTTCTTATTTTCTTATTAAGAGACTAATTTTTTATGTGCCAGAGGTTGTTGTAAGATGAAAGAATATTTTTTTTTTACAACTAACATTTTCTTGATATTTTTTAAATCTGCAAAATAAAATATTTTATCATTTTTTTCTGTCCCATCTCCGCAAAACATGTTTTCGGATCGATAAAATCAGACTAAACTGAGTTTTATGCTCATTTAGGAAGTAGTTCAATTGTTTTTGCTATACTTAAAATGTCAGCTTTTTTTTTACTGTTTATATCTCTTTTGTAAGAGATTCATTATCAGGACCCTCCACATTTTCAACACTGTTGTATGACCTGAGAGATGAACTAAATTTCTTTTTTCAGTTAAAAGAGAAAGTTTTTGTGTGAGCGTGGTTATGAGTATAGTTGAAAGTGCAGGTGCAGGAGTAAGAGTGGGTGTGCGGCGGATACATGCAGGTATACGGGCCAATTATTCATCGAATGTCTACTCACATTCGCGCTAACCACTCGTTTCATCAAGATCTAAAGATAGTGTACCTACTTCATGTCGTTTCCCACAGCGATGAGTATTGCCAAATATCAGTGAACATTCATGAGTAAAAATTCAGACACATTATTAAAAGAAATGATCATTGGTTTATACTGGTTGCTTTGTTCTACTTAAAAAGATCATAATTGATTATCAATTTTTTTCACAAATCTCTTCATATAAAATATTATAATTTCTATGACGTTTCGGTAAGCGTTGTTGTCTTCTCTGCAGTTTATTGATAGAAATTTAGAATAATATATACTACAAAATGAGATAACATGAGATCGCATTAAATGCATTTCAATACACTAGATTTGTGTTTTCGTTTCTGATGTGATTTTTGATAGTGAGTTGGAAGGAGATGTTAATAGTAAATCACTTTTACCAGCGATCACCGTCTTGCTGATTCACTATCAGAAATGTGTGAATGTAGATTTGAGGGTGTGGATGTGGGTGATAGCTAGAATCGTGTGTCATCCACACTCACGCCCTGAAATTATGAGGAATACATTATTAATATGAATGACTAGTTCTTTAAGTTATTGATACATTGCATGAGCTAAACTGTACAATTCACTCGTTTACCATCACAGTCTATGATAATTATTCTATGAAACTGTTAATGTTTTTATCTAATATATTTACATACAGAAAAGTAATCTGTGAGAAAAAAGCGATTTAAATGACTAGTCTTTATCTCAACAACGATATCATGAGTAACTTAAAGTTCAAGCTATCATACATATCAGTTCTAACGCTGTGATTCACGAGTGTGATAAGATATGATAAGACAAGTCTAGAGTGTGTGAGGCACGGATACGGATGAAATTAATATACTTACTCTCAAGATTGCGGTACACTTTCTTGTTTCATCATAAGTTGTAAAATATTCTTCAATATATTTATTTGTTATACCAACTTATTCATCCAATGATTGATATTTTTTTGATAATGTTGAGTAGTATTTACTTTAGTTTGAGACTAATCTCATATTCAAAATTTTATATTAAATATTTATTCATTTAGTTTGATTATTTTCTTTAAATGAAAAAAAATATTTATTGATCTGTTAAATAATCATTTAAGTGAGAGATTTTCTTAACTTAATTTTTCGATTTTAACAGATTTTACTTTTATTGATTTATCTTTTTTCTTCTGTCTTCCTTCCCTTTCTCTCAATGTATTACTAAGTCAAAAAATAAATCGAATAAAATTTCTATTCACAAGTTTTTTTTCATTAATTTAAATTTTTGTCTCGATTTGAAAAATATTTTGTTTGATTTTTCTATAAAAATAAAACTTTTTTTTAATTACATTTCCTTTTTTTTCTAGAAATTAAAAGCAAATTTATTTATTTTGTTAAACGAAATTTTATCAAATTAAATTAAAAATATTTTTAATTTCAAATTTTTTTATATTTTAGAACTCGATGATTATTACAATCAACAACATAAAGATTTTCGTCATTATCAAATGATAAACCTGTGGGACAATTCAATTGATTTCCTTGAACATTTGTACTAACAACAATTTCACCTTCTTTATCTCTTTCACACCAACGCATTATCCGATTATTTCCTTCATCTGCTACATAGATTTGGCCAGAATGATCAGCAAAGACTCCTTGAGGAGAAGACAACTGTTTGAGACTATTTCCTTGACCATTTCCACCAGCAACAATAATTCCTTCTTTTGCATCTTTTCTCCATTTCATTACACGATGATTCTTATTATCTGATATATAAAGAGAATACTCGTCATCAATAAAGATAAAAGTAGGAACATTGAGTTGATTGAGATGATTTCCATAATCATTTCCACCTGCAACTAATTCACCTTTTGTATCTCCTTGATTTCATCGTCTTACTTCATGATTGTCCCAATCAGAAACATAGATAAATCCATTTTTATCAATTGTTAGACCAGTACATCTAATATTTGAAATAATCGTTTGTTGAGTTTGATCAAAACATCGAATTACTCGTTTGTTTCCCCATTCCGAGATAATAAAAGAATTATTTTTTTTATCAAAAATTATATTTGTTGGATAATTCAATTGATTATTTTGATTTCCACCAACAATGATTTGACCACCATATGAATTCAGTTTCCATTTAACAATACGATGATTATAAGAGTCAGCAATATAAACTGATTTATCATCATCGATAAAGATCCCTAGAGGATCCGAGAGTTGATTTAATTCATGTCCTTTTTCAATTTCAATTCGTCCAGCAACAGTCGCTGGAAATTGTTGAAATCTATTCTTTTTTATTTGAATTGTTTCTAAAATAAAAGATTTTCATTATTTTTAACTGAAAAAAGGGCGAAAATAAGAAAAGAAACTTGTATTTGAATTTGTGTTAGTAAAATAAAGTTTTCTATTTGTTAAACTTAATTTTTAATGAATAAAATAAACTTCAGATAATTTCTTCATTCAATTGAGATTTCTTTATTTGATTTTTATAGAAGTGTAATTTCGAAAAATCTTCTTTAAATAAAATCATTTTTATTTGAATGATTTAAATAAAATCGATTAAAAACTTTTTTTTTCTTTGAAAATTCTAAACTAAAAAGTTAAACTTAGCTTGAATTTATTGAACAATTTAAAAACAAGAAAAATACTAAAAGAGATTTTTCAAATGAAAAAAACTATAAAAATTCTATTTATTCTAAGAAATTTGTTGAGATTAGAATTTTCTATTAGAATAAATCTTAAAAAAAAACAAAAAAAGGAATGATTTCATTAAAAAAAATAGGGTGTGGGTATTTTATGTCAACCACACCCACACCCACACCCTCCATGAAACATACTTTGTTTTATCTGAGATTGAGTTGATATTTGATTTGTTGTTATTGGATTCTTTGAAATAGTTGCTGTACTAATTGTAGAATGATTTGATTGATAAGAATCTTAATACAAAGAAAATATGATCATTTTATTTGACAACAATAAAAAAATAAATAAAGTATAATTTAAATTATTAGAACTATTTTTTAAGTTTTTTGAAAGAGTTTATAATGGAACGAATCAAAATTCAATTTTATGATTTTAGATTTTCTCAATTAAGATAAAAAGATATACAGAGAGAGGATTCGTTCATATTTTATCTTTTGAATATAAATCCCAAAGGTTCCTCTATAAAATATTTATTTTGTTTTGGAAAAATATTTTTCTACCTACAAAATACGAAATGTATTTATTTATGGAAGAAAATGTATTTAATTTTCAAAACCAAAATTATTTTAGATGAGGTCTGAGTGTGTATGAGTATTATATCTATCACACACTAACACTTTTCACTTCAACAAAAATATCTTTATTTATGTATAAAATAATAAAGCGATATGCTGATGTTTGACACAGTCTATCAGGGGCGTAATCCTAGTTTTTCTATTTCAATGGTCAAAAGAGTGAGCTTTCTAGAAGCAGGGGGGGGGGGGGTATGCGCCCCACGCGCCCCCTACTTGCGCTACTGCAGTCTATTACACAGATTAATTTTTTTCATAATTAATAATTCTGAAGAGTTGCTTTCATATTAGAATAGTTTGACAAATCTTAGTATATACTCATAATACACATTCAAATCATTTAGCTATGAGGTATTTTTAAACTTCTCACGATCTTATATTTGTTCATTTTTAACATTTGAAACTTTTCTTTCGAAATGAAATAATTGAGTAAACATACCAAACGATGAAATAACTGAAATTTTCTTGATAAATTCTTGTGGATCTTGTCGAACAGAAATATTTGATGGTGTGACAAATTCTTTTGTAATTTGTTTTAGTTGTAATTGAAAATGATTTAAATCAAGTTCATTAAATTCATTTTCTTCACGAATTTCTTTTAATTTCTTAGATAATTCAATAAACTTTTTTTCCACATCATTAATCGATTTTTCTGTTGATTTCATCAGTGTTTCTCGACATTGTTGTGCTGTTTGTTGAATTTTTTTCCCATTGATCAATCTGCTGAATTAAAGAAGCATTTTGTGGATTTTGTTTTTGTTGAATAATTGTGTGTTGAAATTGATCATGATTATTAATAATTTCATCTAATTGTTTGTCAAGAATTTGTCGATGTTCTGTTAAATGTTGAAAACAGAATTCTTTTGAACATCCTTTACAATCGTATGTATTTTTTTCTTTGTTACACACAAAACATTGTGCTTTATTTTTTGCTGTTGCCATTTGTCGAAGAATTTCGAAAAAACGAAATGAATATTTGTTATCATTTTGTCTGTGTATTTATTTATATAAAACAAAATGAGTCAAGGTAGATAAATATCAGTCGGTAGTAACAGAACGAACAAGATCTTTCTTCGATAGATAAGAGATCTTCATCATGAAATTATTTAATATTCATTGACAAGCTGATGTATCGTCGTCTTTTTTTCCTGTTTGCTTTCATATATTATATCTTGTATGTATATAATCATATATAAACACTTGTTTCTCTTTTGTTGTATTTTGTTGGGCTTGATGTCATTGTGATTATATATGTATACTTATATACTAAAAAATAAAGGTAAAACGGGTTACCATGTTGAGGGTGTGGGTATGGATGTAGGCATGAATAAGAGATGAATAGAACAACCTCATTAATATTCACACCCACCCTCAATCTGGTATTTATATTTATGACGGGACGCTAATTTTTGAAATTCTATACCTGACAATGGTAATAGCAACTGAGAAACCGTTGCAATTTTTCGTTTCTCGACAGTCCGGCTTACACTTATATTCAGATGATTTTCGTTGTTCAATCGCTGATAGTTTTTCAAAGAAAGGATTTTCGAACTCTTGTTCTCTTATTTTTCATACTTATTGTATTTGGATACGTACATATATGATAGCTCTATCGCTCATATTTAGCATCCAAACCTTATGTTTAGTATAGTTAGTATGGTTAATATTGATATTGAAAAGAAAAATCTTTATTCATTTGATTTTATGAAATAGTACATGTAGTAGATCGAGTTGATTTGGATGAATCTAATACGGTAGAAGTAGTAGATAGAGTATTATCGTTTAGTTGTTTTTCTAAAGCATTGGCAAATCGAAGAAATTCGTGTGGAGGCATTTCATTTCCATGATTTCGTTGCGAATAGATTTTTGCATAAATATTCATTTGTTTCTCACGATCTTTGATTAATAATTGAGCATAATCGAACATTTCTTCACGTGTTTCAAAATTAAATAATTTACGAATTTCCGGAGAAATTCGATGAGATAAGAACCATGAGTTAACATCATTACCATTTGATGTATCGTCATCTAATAAAGGTTGAGATGAAGAATTTGAAGTTGCTCCATTATTAACAACCAATGGTACACTATGATGTTGTGATGGTACAGCATTTTGTTGGGTCGTCGTTTTAGAAGATGATACAGATAGACGAATTGTATTCAACAATTCAGTTTTTTTATTTTTCTCTAATTGATCAATATCTCGAAAACGAATATATTTCATACCAGTCATACGAATACCTAAAACATATTCAGTTTTATATTGAAAATCTCACACCAATATGTATTTCATTATCCAGTTGCCTTTTGAAATAATTCCCAACTATGTACTCCTTTCATTTGATGGAAGAAATATTGGCGACAAATAATATTTTACTATTGATCCGTTCAATTCTCATATAGACTCATGTGCTCTTCTTTTATGTGTATCTTTAATGCTATGTGATCGTTATTACTAGAAATCGTGCAAGAAGACGACACTGTTAAATGGTGAAATAGATAGGGAAAAGTCTCCATTTTTTTGTTATTTAGATTAAATATCCTTACAGAAACATGCAGTATTTTTCAACTCAACCTAACCTAATTTGAAAATATGCATTTTTTTTGATTTTCACACATAGGTGTAACTGTGCGTGTTGTGCTTCTATTTCAGTTTTATATACACATTGCTCTGCATCTATAATTTTCTCAGCTCTATATCTGATATCGTTAAAATTGTTTCATCAAGTAAGAATACAAAACAATACCAACGAAATATTATCTGCTCATAGATTGTACATCTATTTACTTACCAAGCCATCCTTTCGGATCGAAATTTCCAATTAAAACAGGTACAATAGTTCTCTTCAATGAATCGACAGCATAAATAAATTCTTGACGACACGATTTACTTTGAAAATATTGTTCTGAAAGAAGACATAGAATAACATTTGATTGTTCCATTCCATTTGCAATTGATTCCCATAAATCTCCTGCTCCTTGACAATGAGTTCGATCAATCCAAATACTAAAATCATCCTTACACGTAGATAGCAAATCATATATTTCACTACAAAATTCATTATTATCATGACAATAACTAATCATAATCCATGGTTTGGAATTTAACCTAAAATACATGAACAATAGATAAAATTTTCTTGTCGATAAATAATATAAATCTTATACTTTTTCATTGTATTTACTGGAAGTGCATTGACAGACAAATTTTGATGTTTTGAAATGTTATTATTACCTGTTATTTCATTATCATTTAAATTAAGATTATGTAAAATTCCTTGAGTTGCTTGATGAATTCCTTCCATTGATCTTGGTTTATATTGTTCAATCATATTTTCTAAATCATTATTTTCTATAAATATTCTTAATTTATCAAGAAATTTTTCATTTTTAATTAATTCTTGTTGATAATTATATTGAAATGAAATACTCCATAAAATATTTAAAACAGCAATTAATGTAAATTGTTCAAGTCGATCAGTACTTTTTAATGCATGAGAAAAATCGATAAATATTGTAACAAATAAATCAATTGTTGAACTTATATCAGATGGTGGTTCAGTTTCAGCATGATAAAGTATATAGTCTAGTGAACGTTCTTCAACAACAAACATTTTTACTAATATACATAATGGTTCACTAACATGCAAACCATCACTTCGATATCGATCAGTTTTACTTGCATCCATTATTAATTGTAATAATTGATTGAATACACTGTTCATTCCTTTTTTGTCACGTTTCAATTGTTCAGGTGTAGACACAAGTGCTAAAGCCATTGTAATAACAAGAATTCGAGAATCTGATGTTTCTATTTTCCTAAAACAAAAAGTTCGATGAAACTAAACGGAAAGTAGAAAAGAGAAAAAATATGATTTACGAATTTTGATATCTTTTAATGATAATAACTGCATCGTATTTGTTAAGTTCATCGGCACCATCATCATGTCGAGCAATATTATGAATAATACTAATCAATGATCGACGACTTTTTTCTGCCAACATAGATGCTTGAGCGAGCCAGCCAATAGCTCGTTTAGCAAGATCACATTTCAATAACATAGGAATAAGAACTGTTCGATCTGATAAACTCCATATGACAGTTAAAATAACCTCATTAATATCTCCGATTTTATAATCTTTTTCTATTACTGTTGATGCATGTTCTGGCATTCGTTTATCAATACGATCAATAAAAAGTGTAAGCAGTTCACAATATTCCTCAATGTGTTGCTGATCTTGAATGGAATCGAATGTAAAAAATGACTCTGCTTGCACAACAAACAACAGAATATAACTAACATGCTTATAGTACAATTTATTTTCTTCTGATTCTTGTTCATCTTTAGTTAGTAAAAGATAATTCTTTATGTGAGTTTGATTGAGCTGATTGATGCACCAAAAAAATGTTTCTCTGGCAATATGATCATCTTTTCTTATGGTATAAAAATCAATTGATTTTATCATAATTTCTAGAAGAGAACCACATTCAGCATAACACGATGGACTATCGGAGGCAGAAATTGAAAGAACTTCACCCCAAACAGAAAGAAATTTCAGCCATACTTGTTTTTTAGATTCAGTTGTTGATATTGACAAATTTTTGAACTGTTCTAATCGAGTCATAAGCTGTTGATATGATGACAATTGATTATCGTCAGAGGATTTTATTTCAGTAATAGTTTCTGAACGAAATGGATCCATCGATTCCTTCTTATCGGTCATATTATCTTAAAGAAATCTTTCACAATGGCACAGAGTGTCTTACTTTAACAACAATTGTTTAAATATACATAACTACCATCGGCATGTATGTTGGTTGATGGCAACAGAAGAAAAAGAACAACTCACGTTCTCGTGCGTCATTGCCAGTAACTAACTCAGAATAAAATAACATTTGACGTAATCAAATAACAAAATGAAGTCACATGGCATTGAGATTCTCGATCAGAGGATTCTATGCTTTTGTGTGGGTAGGTGTAGGTGTATAATCATCTCCTACCCACAGCTTAATTAGTATTTAACAATTCTAAACATTGATAAATAATATTTCATAGCTTGACAAACAAAAAGTTAAATGTTATTATTATGCAACACTTTCTTCGATGATATTTTCAATTTGATAAGATCTTTTTAAATCTTGGGAGGAAATTAATCGATTATTGAAAAATCAAAGTAAATTCTCTCTTTTTGTGTGATATTCAATCATTAAAATGAAAGAAACGAAGATCATATTGACTTGGAATGACATTTCATTGAATTGTCGATATTTTTTTTATTTGAATTAAATTTTAAAGATTTGTATAAGTTAATCTAATAAGAACGATAATAACAATCGACTATAATCAAACAGATAAGTTAAAATTGATTTAGTTTCTTTATTTAAAGATTTATTTTTTAAATACACTTGGGGAAATTCATCATTAAAATAAACAATTCTCTTTACATTTTATTCTTAATTAAGATTTCAGTTTATTAACTATGATTCACTTTATTTATCTTTGAAAAATAAAGTACTTTAAATCGTCAAAATTTCTATCTTTTCATTGTCCTCAATGGTAACTCTGCGTCTTTACCTCTTTTTCGTTCTTTACACTCGACATCCGTTGATTCAGCGATTGATACAGAACAGTAGAACAGATTGTAATTTCACAATATGAATATAACTACAAAATAAATGTGATCAGATAAATCAAATGAAGAGACGAGCCGCGACCCTGAGTCGATCTTTAACTCACTGCTAATGAGCCTTAAGCATAAGCACCGGTCTTTCGGGACCATGACTCAGGGTCAACTCGATATTCGTCATACTTTTTTTCCCACACACATGATCTCTTTTTACTGTTTTTTTCGCGATCCTCTGCTAAGCGATGAGTGACTGATATTTCTTCCATTGTTTATTTGTTTTTCTACACATCTACAAACTCTAATAGCACCCAGAAAATTTCTTCTTATGTCACATTTTGTCCAAGTGTTTTGTCGCTGATCATTTTGGTAAAAAAAAGTTTTTGAACTTCATTGAGTAATGACAAAGGTATAATCAGAATACTAAACACACTAAAATACATTAAAATACGATTTTTTTTAATAAATAAGCATAAACAGTGTTTAGTATTTTAACTATAACACCGTCATTACTCAATGAAACTCAAAAAGGTTTATACTAAAATGATCAACGGCGAAAAGCTCTTCAAAATCTGATGTAAAAGAGAATTTTCTAAATACCCTTAGAGTTCCTAGATGTGTAAAAAAAATAAAAATGTACATTGAATATGAAAAACTGATATCACCATAGGATTTTGATTGAAACCTAAAAAAGAACCGGTTTTTCTGTGATTTAACTATCATTTTTATTTATTTACGAACATAACGAAGAGATTTCAGGTAAAGGTGGTTGAGGATATGCCAGGTGTGCGTGTGAGTATTGGTATATATGTCATCGCTCTCTCATACCATGCTCAGATCAACACACATCCACTAGAATGTGGATGGAAATGTGTCCGATAATTGAATATGTTCCCTTGTTAGTAAAAGTGCTAAATATTCATTTTGTGATAGCTTTACGCAATCACATCCTCGATCAAACTTTTATTTAAATCAGTAAATTTATTTTCAATCGAATTTAATTCAAACTTTTGTACACGATGATTCCAAAGGTCAGAGACGTACAGGTTTCCTTGTCGATCAAAAGACAAATCTTCAGGATAATATAACTGGTTTGATTGTTTCCCTTCTCCATTTCCACCGGCAACAATCGCTCCTTGTGTATCTTCTTTACACCAACGCATTATTCGATGATTGCCAAAATCTGCAACATAGATGTAACCGAGTTGATCAACAATCACTCCTCGAGGAGAAGACAACTGTGTTAAACTATTTCCCTGACCTTGTCCACCAGCAACGATAATTCCTTTGTCTGCATCTTTTAACCATTTCACAACACGATGATTTTCACTATCTGATACATACAATGAATAATCTTCATCAACGAAGATATAAGTAGGAAAATTAAGTTGATTGAAATCGCTCCCTTTACCATTTCCGCCTGCTACAATTGTTCCAGTTTTTTCTTCTCTTTTCCATCGTTTCACTTCATTCTGCTTGAAATCAGAAACATAAAGAGTTCCACTATTATCCATTGCTAAACCCCACGCATCAATATCTTCAATGATAATTTGTCCATTTTTTGTATTGTTTTGACGAGACCATTGCATCACTCGTCTGTTTTCAGAATCAGCAATGATCAAAGAGTTATGTTCTTTGTCAATAATTACACCTATTGGCTCATTAAATTGATTCATTTGATTTCCGCATCCATTTGCACCTGCGACAATTTGACCAATTATTGCATTGTATTTCCATTGAACTATACGATGATTCGAATTATTAGCGATATAAATAGTTTGATCGTCATCAACGAATATACCAACAGGATGAGAGAGTTGATTTAAGTTATCGTCGCGACCATTGCCTCCAGCGACAGTAATTCCTTCTTGTTTCCATCTTACACCTAAATGAAAACAAAAAAGCTTTTGACAAGTTGTTTTCTACGTGACAATGAGAAAAAAGTGATTTTTCGTGAAATTGATTTGTTTGTGGATGTGAATGTAAGTGATGAAGAGGCGCACCCAAATTCACATCCACCCTCAAGAAGCATCAAAAATTATACTTAACAGTAAAAAAGTTCACTGTGATTGGTCAAAAACTATCCTTTGGCTTCCGATCTGGTTTCAAAAAAACTAATTCATGCTTAACACTGATGTATATTAGTCAAAAATTATAGTAATTGAAATAAATTCTAAATCTATTTATTTTTAAAATATTTGATAAATGATATTAATTAAATAACAAAGTAACCACCACTCTCTATAGAATTATCGTTTAAAAAGGATCGACTGTTTTTTAATGAACTCACCTATACAATTGTTTGTTATATTGCTATTATTTTGAAAAAGTAGTTCATTTTGTTTTTTGACTTCAAGGTATTTTTGATGCCATTGGATACTCATATCATAGTCACCTGTTTGTGATGCCAATTCACCAAGATCTTCGTATAAACTGCTAAGTAGAGGATCATTTGATGGAAGTTCATTTAATAAACGTTTAAAATATCCTTCAGCTAAATCAAATTTTCCCATTGTCCATAGTACTTTTCCTAATGTTCGAAGATTTGTTTCTCCGTTTCCAATTTGTTGTTTCATATGCAAAAGAACTTGTTTTAAATCATATTCATTATCACTACACAAACTCATTTCAATGATCCAAACATGATCATCACTATAATTAATGCTTTTTAGACGAAAAATTGAACCAATCATAAAAAGTACTTCCGTTTCATTGATAAAATGACTATATTTACTTATATCGGCAAATGGTTTAGTAGTGACCATTTGAGGATCAGCATCGATCTCAAACAATACTCCCTCCAATTTCAAATCAATCAATGAAGTTGTATCGCCCAGAAAGAAGAGAGCTGTTGTACGATTTTTACTGGTGGAAAAAAATGACTGTATTGAAATGAATTGTCCAATGTGTTGCTTAAGATCATGTAATTCATCACTTGACATAAGTTGACTTCGATAAACTCGTAAAGGATTAGTAACTTGATCGTGCTGTAATTGACAATGAATATCTGAGATGAATTCACGGAATAAAAAGATCGTATGAATATTTTGAGTACGCAATGCTGTATTGAGGATTTTGTAAAAGAATGATTCTCTTGTATACCACCATAACACTTTGTCAGCTGAATATTCTTCCTCAAATTCACGAAGATTATCTAACTCAATATGATTACCTTCGTATTCATTTTTACAAAGATTAATAAATTCAGTTTTATCTGTTTGAGTATATTTTAATCGTAAGAGACAATCAATTAGAATTTGAGAAAAAACAAATTGACCATTTAAGCCTGTTGTTGATTTACCTTCGCTAACTTTTGTTGTGAAAATATTAATTGATAATGGTTCTGCTATCTTTTTCTGGATTTTATGATCTTCCGTAATTCGAGAGATAAGTTCATCAACTTCAACAACAGCATTTTTTGCCTAATAAAAAATTATCATATCAAATTGAAATTGTTTATCATACCTTTACTTTTGAAAATTTACAAGCCCACTGTTCATTACTCTTTCCAGCCATGCAATAAACATAGATTCACATAACTTGTCGAAGATTATAAACAACTAATACTATTTCTTGTCCTAGTCGATCACTAACAATAAGTTTTTTTTCTTTTTTTTATATAATTCGCTTTCTTTATCGTGACACTCGGGAGTGCTAACAACTAATACCGTAAGGATTTACAGCTGCTTGTTACACATCACTATCTAGAATATAAGCATACAATAAAAAGGCACATTTTATTGAGATTGTGCTACGTTAGTGAGTAAAAGAGGGCAGGGGGAGGAAGTAAATAACCAATAACGAAAAGAAAAGAAAAAAGAAGCAAGGAGAAAGAGAAGAGAATAGAAAAAAAGAAAAATTTAGCAGTATTAAGGGAGAAAGCGAAAATATACGAGTCAGAACGATGAGTGCCACTACCCCTTTATATGATTCTTCATCATTCTAAAAATTTAAGCCACTGAAGGAGTAGGCGTGTGTGAGTCGTCTCTCTCTCGGCAAACCATAACTCACACCAGTACCTTTGTTTTATTTTTCATAAACGAATTTTTCAATCATTGTGCAAAAGCTAATCGCCAAACAGTACATCGAAAAAGTCCTACAAAAAGTTGCTGACTTTGAAAATCAGATTAATTAAAAAAGCCGCCCTACTTATCAATGAATTACATTCCTTTAGTACCGTTCTGATACGAGTACATTGACACAAAAGTCGTCCTAATAATAACTCGTCTTGCAGTTATTCATTCTCAAATTTCTCAGAAACCTTGAGAGTGCAGATGTGGGATGAGAATGTGATTGTGAAGATTAAGAGAGGACGCCCACATCTCCGCATCCTTGAATCGTTCGTAGGATGTGTATGCGATAAGTGAGAGAAAAGTACATGCATAATCGGACAGAAGAAAATTGAAGGAAGATTTAAGAAAAACAGAACAGGAATAGAAAACTTTGGCAATCACCTCTGTAGATGATTTAATCATCTTAATTGGCTTTTTTAAACGAGAAAAAATATTCTTTAGAAGAAAAAGAGGAAGACGGAATACTTTCACAATTTATTTTTCGTACGAGCCATTATCACAAATCTCTTTTCTTCTTTTCTCAAACAAAAAAATATAAGCATAAATTATATACCATTGGTATTTTTTTTAGTTCTTGAGTAAAACGATAATATAAATGTAATACTTAACGCTATACAGAATAATTTACACATGAATAAAGAATATCCAGTAGCGTTAATAAATCGTCTTAAAAATATGAAAATTATGCACGTAGAAAAATGTTATTTTCATTATATCCACTTAACTAAACGAAGATATAACGTACGACTACATACAATGAATGAATGTAAGTGTTTAAATAATGGGCAATGTATGAAAGTCATGATAAATGAAACAACAAACTATTATTGTCTGTGTAGCGATTGTACACAGGGTGAATTTTGTGAAAATGTCCACTACTATGTACAATATACAATGACATCGTTAATGTCAATCGACATTCTCCTCGAACAACTAACTACACGAATGGTGATAAAGATCATTTATATTTTCGTATTCTCACTTCTTACGTTTATGTCCTTTATCAATAGTTATTTGAGTATTATAACATGTTTTGTATACAGAATACGTGTTACAGTTTGTGGACTCTATATAATATTCTATTCGATCTTCAGTTTTCTTGGCATAGCATCACTGGAAATCATTGCAATTGTAGCACTATTCTACAATGATGAGTTGAATAAACAACCAATTGTACATTGTCAAGTTATACCAACATTTCTCTATTTAACATTCTATGCATGTCTTTGGCTTAGTGCATTCATTGCTGTTGAGCGAGCACTCATTCAGTTTTTTAATTATAGTCTATATCGTACGCGCATGTATTCAACTATTTCTTCAATTATATTTCTCGTCGTTCTTACTGCAGTGAGTATTATCCAAGCTTTAGGACGAACAGTTGGAGAAAATCCCAAATTGTCAACATCCTACGTCTGTTCATTTAATCATTATACAAACGAAAATTTAAAATCAGCTTATAAAGTTATGGGTAGTATTTACTTACATTTTGTTGTACCGTGGGTATTAAATTTTCTATCAATTATTCTCACTCTAACGCATATTATTCGTTATAAAATTACATTGAATGACTTACAAAGAAGTTCATGGCTATCTCTCATTATACAACAAATTTTGAGACATAAGGATTTCTTCATACCACCAGTAGTGATTATTGTCTGTACATTACCAGAACGATTGTTAATAAACATTGCCGGTACATATTGTATAGAGAAAAGCAAGCAAAAACTTTACATTCATTTACATATTGCTCTAGACTTTCTATATTATATGCCTATGGTTCTTACATTTTTAATCTATATCTATCCTTCCAATGTTTATATGAATGTATTTCATGAAATTAAAATAATTAAATGGATCAAACGAAAAGTATTTACTTACAATTACTGCCACAACAACAACGACTCAAACGTTTTTGCTAATACAAATGAACAAATTATTGATGAACAGATCGTTGATATAAAAATAGTGATTATTTAATTTGTAAACATATTATTTTTCAAACACAGGTATTAAACAGTTTATTTCAGTGTCATCAAAGATAATTTTTTTTTCTTTAAAAATATGCATATATTAATATGAAAAGAAATGATAATGCATGATGTAATTGCTTTAAAATATTCATTTCAAATCATGATAAAAAAATATGAAATTGATTATATATAGATATTATTATTAATTATTCAAAGAAGTTCTTGAAGAAAGATAATAACTATTCGGTTACATCAAGTACATGCAGTTTGTTTTGATTAATTAATAAATGAAATCAGATTTATTTTGCTTATTATCGCATAATAAAAAAAGAGTGGGTTTGGGTGTAACGCCACCATGTGCTCAAAAGCTTCTTACAATCAGTACGAAACGCTTTAGACACCGCTAAATAAATGTAGAATGGCATTCCATTCGTTACACTGAGAAGAAATTGCGAAATGAATGTAATAAAGCGTTCAGTTTGCAGATGCTGTGAACTTTTTTTAATATTGATGTAGTTAGTTATTGTAGTTTCGGCAGTGATACAAGGATACGGACTAACCAATATAATATAGGCAATTGCTTCAGTCAATACCATAATAAATAAATCTCGATCCTGTCGACGAACAACAACTACATTACGCTGACTTACAATTGGTCGCACACGTGTATGTGATCGTTTGATATTTGAATAGGCCAAATAGCCGAAGTTGATCAGCACTCCACACGGAATCAACCAAATAAAAAGCACATTGTAGAAGATAAGGTACAGACCGTTTGAGCTACATCGTCCGTTTACAATTGACAATAGGATCAATGAGAAAGTAGGTATGATATGCCAAACAACTGCGCCGATACCTATGACCCATAATGCGATTGATGGTTTACTCAAAGCTCGAACACGGACATTGTCACTCGTCATTACATATCGATCGATACTAGCGAATGCAATGCAATGTCTAGCCATTTCGCCCCATGCATTAACTAAGTAGACCCGTATCTTGCAGTAGATTAGTGAGCGTGCAGTTAAATCACCATAAAAAGACGTGTAAAGATACTGAGGAATGTTGAGAGCGAGACACAAACTATTCATCACTGCTCCAGCAATGAGATACATTGAGCAAGAATTACGACGATTATGACGAAAAATCAGTATAATACAAGCGTTTCCAATGTTGCCCATAATGAAAAGAGTGGTTGCTCCGTAATAAACGATTTGATTTTGAGCAAACATCAATGAAGAATTTGACATATTCATTTTTCTTATTTTGTTGAATGAAGAAAATATCATAAATATTTCTCGTTTACTCATTAGATGTTAAAATATGATTACGCAGATTAATCTTAGTCTCCTGTTACAATGGCGTGTTAAATAGGACACGAACTACGTCAAAGCAGCTGCCATGAATTTTGTAGGGTATCAAACTATGTAACCCATGGAATACTTTTATTTAGAAGAAAAAAATTGATGTTAATCAACTAATGCAGAACTTATCACGAGAACTGTTACTTCATTTTTTTCTACTTTATAATATTATTTTAATTTTAGTTATATATATTTATTGCAAATAGGATTAACAAGGATTAAATATTAATTAAATATCAAAAGAAAAAAAACAAAGTTAAGGCTCAGACATAATGATGATACATTTCATTCCAGATCAATGTCGGAATTACCCGATACTGTATTTATAGGACCAACTTGATTTTGAGCAGCACAAAAAGAGCAATGTTTCCATTGTCGCCAATATTTTCTTATTAGATATTTCACTTGACGACGAAATCGTGCTGATGAAGCGGCAAAAATATAGAAGGTGACCTATAGAATAAATACATAATGATATTTAGTAGAAATCAAATAAAAATCAAACTGTACTGCAAAATTTACACCAGTCCATGAAGTGAAAAATGCTTGAAGTAATTGTCTGATTGCATAATGCAAAACATTCGATTGTGGATTCGGAATATTGATAGTATAGATGCGATAAATAGCGTATGGCAATGTAAAAATGACAAAAAAAACTACACGCATTAATACCATAGCTGTCATTTGTTGATCGAGTCGGCGACGAACAATCGGTACTTGTCGACGAACAATACGACGAACATTGTTAAAAGCAAATAAGCTAGATAATGATGCAATAAGAATTGGCAAAGGACCATACAAAACTGGATAGAAAAACCATGATGAATAGAGTGTCATTGTAGGATTTGTAATGACACATCCAAGTGATGGATTAACATTGAGAAAAAGACCATATATAATACTATGAATAAACCAAATCAAACCAGTTCCTAATGTGAAACATCGAGTCAATTTGATTGTACACATTTGTCTCATATTCAATCGGTAACTTGTCGAAAAAAACTGATCACAAGCGGCAAAACATATCGTGAAGAACGATGTGAGTGTAAATGTTTGAAACAGTATTGTTCTCATTCTACACCAGATGAATATATATCCGTATGGATCATTTCCATATATTGTTTGTAAAATCGTACTAGTAGAAAGAACGATAATATAGCCAATATCAACTATAGATTCAACAGTCAAATAGAAAGCACATCGATTTGCTCGAAACAATTTGAGCTGAGTGAAAACAATAATATTAAGAATATTACCAATAAATCCGGCAATAAGTATGACATAATAAATATAGAGTATATATTGACGAATATCATTTAAAATATTCACAGTCACTAACAGCGACTCCATGCACTTTTTCTTAATCTCTTTTACAAGTGAACTTATTTGTCCGACAAAAGTACCTTCGTTTTCTTTTTCTCTCGTTTTTCTTTTTCTAATGATATATTAATATTACATATCTAATATTATGCAAATTAGAAAACTGTTTACATCTTCTTTTCATTCTACTCTTGCCGACGAGATTAGTTTGTTATTTGAAGAGGTTGTTTTTTGTCTTAATTTTTTCTACTTGGAAAATGCCAAAGCCGATTAAACGACGACAAGTTATTTAATCAGAGTAATGCGAGTGTCAAATGAATACAATGTCTGCACTTACATATACTGCTTCTGTTGCAGCTTTTGTCTGGAATGAGAAAGATTCTAAATCATAGTCAGAATGAATAGGGGGTATTTTTTTATTTTTTTAATTTTTGTGCAAAACGCAAGCAATTATATGTGATATACAAAAATATTAAGCGAAAAATAAGAATGTTCAGCATTATATAAGTCTGGATCAGAATACCCATCGCGTACATTTATTCAAAAAAATGTTCATAATCTTGTGTGTGCTAGTATCAGTAACCGCAATGTCTAGTCCGCCATCGTTATTGATAGTCGTTTGTGAGAATTTGCAGAGTTTCCGTAATATATCTGGAACTGATTGCTAGCCGTCGCGCATGAACGTTGTATCATCGAAGAGTAGATCGATCCATTCTTGTGTAACAAAAGCACTGGAACATATCTCATGAAAGATATGAACCAGGTATTAGAGATATAGAGATATTAGTATTATTAATATCTCTATACCTCTAATATGTCTATACCTCAAAACCTCATTACCTCTGTACACAAGTAGAATGGACATCGCGGAAAGGAGAAGGACAATGTAAATGCGCGTTGACCATCGTTGAATGGTGATCGTCTGTGCATCAGTCAAGTCCGTTTCGAACAGATTGAGCTCGATGTGGAATCGACGCAAACCACGACGATGATCTACGTCATCTCTTCTTTCCATCGTACGTTTCTACGATTAAATTCCTAAAAAAGAAATTTTTGTTGATAAGTCGTGTAAACGTGAATTAATTCTACATGGTCATTATTGATTTCCTCTCTTTTTATATGTTCATGCACATATATAAACTTACCTCAAAGATAATACCAAAGGGGATAGTTGTTCTAATACAATCTGATAGTAAAAAAATATTTAAACTTATTGTCATAACGTATAAGTGTCTTTTTAATTTCCGCATTTCACTGACAGAAATTCTCACTGAAAACTCAACATTATATACTCGATAGAGAGAGAGAGAGAAAAAAAAGAATAGGTGTGTATAATGAGTCTCTAGCAACGCAGGGAAAGAAAATATTGACAAAACTACTAAATGTACTGGAAAATACTGTTTTTTTCTTTTTATTAACTATTAAAAAAATCAGATCAAATTGAATCTTCGATCTTCTTTATTCTATGGCAGTGTAAGAAAGAAACTGGATCGCATTTTCGACAAATTAAAGATTTTCCATGTAGAAATCAGGATTCAAATAATATCAAACTTCGTTAAAAGTTTATTTTTATTTAAGTTTTCGGAGAAAGATGAGTTCAAGGACAAGTTTTAATATTTTACATCCTTCAAATTTTTCTCATTATGAATTCGAGCATTGATGTGTGAATATCAGGCAAAAGACCCATTACTTTCTGCTAACGTTTAGAGAATATAAAAATGAGTAAATATTCTTTTTCAACTCATTACAAAAGTAGCACTCACATACATCTAATCGATGAATCATAGTTTTAGTAAAATTAAAACAAATATTCTGACTAGCAACAAACTCATCTTGTTGAAATGTTTTTTTTCTTTCTGTTGTTTTATTTGTGTTGTATAGATTTTCCGAGAATGAAGATTTTATATTCTTCTGTCATATATACTGTAAATGGTTCTAGTCAAAACAAATAATAACTATTTCGTATTTAACAAGATTTACTGCCATTTTGAAAAATTAGTTCAGAAGTTTTTTTTCTTTTCTTCCAAATAAATCGTGTGATTAAATTAAATAAATATAATGTTCACAACACAGAAATGAAGTATTTTTTTTCTTCTATTCTTCAACTCAAAGAATATAGTCTTACGATTTCTCCTAAAGTGATTCGTTTTATGAAATGTCTTACGAAAGTAATTGATTTGTTTTGATCAAAATAATTAATAATGTCGTAACTATCTTAAATCAAACGCTTTTTTTTTCTTAATATTTGTCCTCAAAGTTTGTTTGTTGCTCATTTTAATATTCAAATGATGGTAGGATTTTCTTACTTTTAATTATATCAAAGCGTTTGTTGTATTGCTATTCATAGTGAAGCATAAAAAAACTATTACATTTGGCGATTATGGATGTGTTGTTTTGAAATGAAGAAAAGAAAATTCATCTTAAAAAAAACCGTAATCAAAGGGTTAAATCTTATCAGGAATAATCAGAATAATATTCAGAAGTCACAATTAATTTTGTTCGTTTCAAAAAATCTCTTTAAATAACATCTATCGTATTTCGTTAAAGTAAATAGATTATTTAATGAATTTATATTAAAAAGAAATCAGTTGAAGACAGATAAACTTTTTGAATTATTCTATTCTGTATTTGATAAATTGTTTCTTTGAATTTACCTGACTCATTTCTATATATCTCACCTTGTTGTAAAAGAAACTTTTGCGTCTATTAAATGATAGAATTATCAGAGACTACGCCCAAAAAGCTTCACGTGTTCTTTTTTTCATTGAATAATATTTCTTATTTTTCATCTTTGGTGAAATGAAGCATAACGAAAGAGAAAAGATATATCTCCTATAAATATAAGCAATCGAACAAAAATTATATATACATTTGATCATTTTTATCTTCATAGTTATATATCAATATTAATAAATAATTCGCATGGAAAACGAGGATAATGCTGTTTTCAGTGGTTATGCCGGTGGATATGATTCAGGTAATACTTCCTAGATTTATTTTTGATTTTTAAAATAATAATAAAAAATATCTTTTTTTTTATTAAGTTCCTGGTGTAGGAATTGTTCCTCCAGCAGGTATTCCTTTGTCGAATATTCAGGCAAATGGTAATTACCAAATAGAAGCTAATTCAGGACGTGTTGATCCAAATAATTTTCCAGGTGTAGTTCATTGGGGACCGGAAGAACATGTGTCAAGTGCACAACTTGAACAAATTATTCAAAGTCGTGTGGAATAAATAAAATTTATTCTATTGAAATAAATCAATCTAAATGAACGAATTATTTTTTTGTAAAATAAACGATCAATTATATTTTACTTTCAGAAATAAATTTATCTATCGGATCTCTTCGTTGAGAATTGATAGTTGTTAAAAATGACTCAATCGAAATTTTTTAAAGACGAAAAAGCGAAGAATTTTTTTCTTAAAAATAGAGAAATTAGTGACATCTCTATTGATGAAAATTTATAATATTCATTTAACTTTGAATTTATTCACATTATAATATCAATTCAAAGCACGATTTTTATGGATATTTTATTAAAAACTAGACAGTTGATTATTTGCGAAGGATTGTATATAAAAATTCAAGATAATAGATGTAAAACATGATAAGATTTGAATAATAAAAGAATAGAATATATCGATAAAGTTTATAATTTAGTGCAAATAACTACAAAGACTTCGTTAAATAAAGGCAGAATATTAATATAATTCTTATTTATGTTTCCTATGTGTTAACTGTAATTTATTCATTTATCTTTGCATATTTTTTGTTATTCATTGTGATATTATTGTTCAATTAAATTATACAAAGATATGATGATCTCAAGATCCATTAGATTTTTATATGACATTATTTATTGTTGAATATAAATATTTAATCATCAGATATCGGTACATAGTGATGTTCTTAAAAAATGCTTAGAAATTTATTCTAAATGAGTATAAATAATTCTATAAATAAAAATCATCATATTTTCTCATTTAAAGTTCGACAAGAAAAAAAAGAAACATACTATTACATGCGTCCATCAAGCTCTACAAATAGATGTGTATCCTTTTTTCAAAATTAATACTCATACTTGGATATATTTCATTTTCATTCTATTCGGATAATTTTAATGGTACATAACAAGATATTAATAACATTAGATTTTTATGATTTATCAAAATTTACAGTTGTTTAGTCGAATTATTTGTTGAGCGTTTCGAAATGATGTGATCTATCAAAAGGGTATAGCTGTGGGTGATTATGTAGTTCTCAAAGTCATGAGAAGTCACCCACACCCATACCCTCACTCTCAGTGAGGAATGATGAATCAGACTTCTCTACCCGGTCTTTTTTCATACTTGCGCTCTTTTTCTTTCGTACGTTTTTATTCAGTAACTATTGACACAAAATTATATGTCTTTTTTTGCAAAACATCTTACGAAAGCAACATTCACTATATGATATTGATAATGACATCAATTATTGACATAGGAAAAAAAACGTTTTTTTTCTTCTTTCCTTATAGTTGGAAAGTTGTAAGCGCATGTTTGTAAAGGTTTCGATCCGAGCATAAATGTGAGTGTGAGTGTGGATGTAGGTGAAGGTGAGAATGAATGACGGTGCGGATGTGACTAGGGTGTGGGTGTGGGTGTGGGAGAATAGGATACACCTAAACCCAAACACCCACATCTACATTCACACCCATACTCAAACTCACACTCATCCCACTCTCACATTTTTTTAATCTTTTCGACAAAAAGGTACATCACCGTCATCACAGTATTTGTTTGGCGACTTAGTCAAATAAGCATCCATTTCTGCGCGCGCTTACTCATTTCATCGTCACCATCTACACAAAAACAACATTCTCACCTTAAAATCAAGAAATATGTTTATTGGTCCGCTACAATGGTACTTTCTCTTTGGTTTTATCCAAAACGAGCTTCGAACACCTGTCAGCTTGAAATTTCGTCCCGAACTCGGTTTAAAACTTTTTTATCACACAATCGAGAGAACAAGAGTTCTAAACTATGAGACTGGCCATGAACAGAACGTTGAATACCGAGAAATAGAAAGTGTGGAACATACTGTAGCAGTCGAAAATAAGACAGTTGTCGACATAATCAATCTAGCGGTAAAATTGGAGCCTTTCTTTGCCCAGGTATATGATCTACTCATGAAACGACCCTACTATGATCGTTTAGAGGAATGGCCTCATTCGGGAGACTTCCGATCTGTAGATGGTATATTCTCAAGCTCGTGGGCGATATTTCCTTCACCTGGAAGTTTGATGGCACCTGATTTTGAATTTCACGAAGGACAAAAGTGGGCAGTCAAAATGGATGGAGGTGTATTTGAAGTGAATTACGAGTTGGTTAAAATCGACGATGAACAACATCTAGCTTTTATCGAAGGTCGCAACTGTGTCTGCTTAAATGGGATGGCGGGAGATAAACGATGGAATGCTTCTTGGATAGTCGACACGCGAACAGGTGTCATTCAACGGCTCGATATTGAAGGTGAACACGAAATCGATCGATTGGAGACAACAACGCGCAAGACTACAAGCAAAGTTTTAATACGAGAAGCAGGAGCGGAAATACTTTCTGACTTTGAGCTTGAAGATGACAATGAGCGAGAAGAGCTCTAGACGTGGTTGCCAGGTCGAAAAGTTAGAAATCGGATTATTTCTACTCAATTCGGAAAACAATAAATTAACCTTTCAGTCTTTAAGTCGCCTTTTTTTGTTATCAGAAAGCAATTTTTGTTGCTGATTATGATTTATTCGTATACTTATTCACTATAAATAAAAATAAATCAATTATATTATTACCAGAAGTCATTATTTTGAAGGGTGTGGTTGTAGATACTAATGTTAAAATACTCACACCCTCATAACAGGATTTTATTTTTGAAAAAATACAAGTTCTGATTTACAAAGCTCGATTTCATACTGTGTATATATACGATATTTCTATATATTTTTTATGACATGATACGGATCAGTACCGAAAATTTGTTACGAAATGGTAAACTAGTCTAATCGGTAAACTGATCGATTGCCATCACATGTTGTACCGAACAAATTCTGGTGAAATAGACAAAAAATTAGTGAAAAAAACCTCAAATTTTTTTGAAAAGCAATTTTTATAGAAAAATGGACCCAAATATGAGATACACTCATGGATAAAAGTCTTTTCTCCCTGTTTATTTCTGTCCTATCATACTTGGTATAAAATTTATTGCCAAGTAAAGATATGACTCAAGAGTTTTATTGTTATATGATCTGTATACCACACTGAAATAAAACTCAAATTATATCTCTACCCGGTAATAAATTTTATGTAAAGTCTGATAGCAAAGAAACGAAGAGGCGAAACACTTTTGTGCGAGGAAGTAGTTTCGGAGAGCATCAATGAGACCTCCAACAAAAATCATCTTTTTAAAGTGAACCTCATAACAAATAATTAAATAACCTGTATTTTGTTCCGTTTTGTACTTACTCTATCAGAAGTTTATACGATATCTTAGCTTTTTATGGTCAAAAACAGAATCGACAAAAAAGACTTTCGGAAAATTTCAAGTCGTAAAATTTCCATCTCTACGGGTCGATTGATTTTTTTTACAATCGATTCGGTTTCATTGCTAATATAGATCGATAAACAATGAGCTTCAAGAATTAATTATGAGTCAATTTCAGTCACACAAAATGTTGATGATATGATAATAGGAACAGAATGAAAAATGATTATAATGGATGTTGAGTACAAAATTAAAATCAAAAAAATCCCTGAAATAGTAAAGAAGAGTTAACATCAATTTACTCAAAAGAAAAATACAATCGTGAAGCAAGAATATCAAAAAAGACGTAGAAAATGGTTTGTTCTATTCTATTTCAATTCTTTGGTGATTTCTCAAAACCTATTTGTATCTGTTTTGTTCACTCCGATAGACATTTTCATTGCTCGTTTTTTAAAAACCAAAATGATAAATATTTGAGGGTGGAAAGCTTTGCTTTTTCGCAAATAAAGTACGTGGTACTGTCGTATTTTTCTTTTGATTTCTTTGAAAAACGTCTCCTGATCAACTCCTGTTTTTTTAAAAAAAACCCTGATTTCTAAAATTTGGATTTGACAACCCTGACTCAAACTCACACCCACACCCAAATTAATTAATGATGATACAGATTTAACTCAAGCCATCATTGAACGATTTTATATTAATGATCCAAATAAAAATCTTCTTGATCAACCTGATTTTTATTCTGATGCTCAACAATTAATTGATAAATATATTTCGAAACATCCATCACATACACAAAATACTGCCTATCAAGTTGATCATTTATCTGGTATGAGTGTTACAGGTGAAGTTTTAATCGGTACAGACAAAAATGAACCCTATGATGTACGTTTAACAAAAACTAATGTTAATTATGGTATTGTTGGTTTATATAATTTTTATCGTACGCAAATAATAAAACATAAAAGTAAAAATAATTTATATTTTCTTTTTACACGTTGGGGACGTATTGGTGATGCTGAAGGTCAATATCAGCTAACACCATATTCAACATTAGATGAATGTCGAAAAGAATTTTTAAAAGTCTTTCGTGAAAAAACTGGTAATGCATGGAAAGATACAAATCAATTTGAAATTAAATGAACGTGAAATACATAAATATTCAAATGTACCCATTGATTTTGAACGTTTACAAACTGAACATGTATCATCCAAACTTCATTCATCCATATTTAAAGATTTTCTTAAAACATTAATTAATCGTCAAGCTATACGTTTAAATATTGATAAAACACAATTAGATATTGAATGGATGCCTGTATCACAATTAAAACGTGAAACATTACAAAAAGCACGTGATTTATTAATTGAATTAAAAAATAATATTGAGAAAAAACAAGAATTAACTTTAGCAATACAACGAGGAAAAACAATTGAACAACAAAAGCAATTTAAAACTATTTTAGATTCGATTTATAAATATATAAATGAATATTATACAATAATACCATTACGAGGTTATGCCGATGAAAAGCTACCTATTATTGATAATGAAGGTCAACTTAAACAACAAGAAAAAATAATTTAAGGCGCATACAGGCTAATTTAAAAACAATTTCACCATTAGATTATTTATATAAATCAATAAATTGTCAATTTGAAGCTATGAATAAAGATGATATTGATTCACAATTAATTTTACGTTATATATGGGCAAGTGCATCAAGTATACAAGTTGAACAAATATTTAAAATTGCACGTCCAAACGAGGATGAACGTTTATATAAATCGAATCTTGATAATCATTATTTATTATGGCATGGTACTAATATTCGTAATTTAATTAGTATACTTACGAGAGGACTTCTTGTTGGACCATTAGCTGCTATGGCAAGTGGAAGTTTATTTGGAAAAGTATGTCAAAAAAATTTTAGATTTGTATTCTATTAAATTTTGTTTTGTATAATAGGGAATTTATACAGCAGATACATTTGCAAAAAGTCTTGGTTATTGTTCAGGTGTAAAACAGAATGATGGTGGTGGTGAACGTTGTTTTATGATATTATGTGAAGTTGCTTTAGGTGAAATTAAAGAAATGGGTTTAAATAATGATGATGGTGGTACAAAACAACTTGATTTAAATCAATTTCAAAGTCGTAAAGGTACTGGTCGACTTATACCTGATCCACGATATATAGTTACACGAAATTATGGTGTTCGTATGCCACTTGGTAATATGATCGATAATACAGATGTTAAAGTTGGTTTTTATGGTCTTAATTATAATGAATATATTGTATATGATGAATCACAAGTAGCTTTACGTTATCTTGTGCAATTTCGTCGTTAAAACTGATCTTTTTTTGTTTTCATAAAAGCGTCAGTGATACTTGATTAACTAGCAAATATTTAGGCTTATTTCTTCTTTATTTGTTGTATGTGCTTGTTGTGTAGCATGTTGTTTCGCTTGAAATTTTTTGCGTTACAACATAGTTTATGTTGATTGTTTTTCTTTTTTAATGATTTGTCATTCTCTTTTTTTTTTCTTTTGTGTTTTGAAAGTTGAAAATAAAAAAACGCTTTTTGCCGAATATGAAATGAAAATATCCATATCAATTTTTTAATTGTAATCGATCTTGAGGGTGTGGGTGTTGGTGTGATTACTCTTCTTCGCCCACATCCACACAATGAAACCATAGTGACAGACGAATGACTAAGAAAGAGGAATATGCAACTGTGTTGTTCTTTTTGAATTCGTTTCTTTACACACAAGAACGAAAATAGAATGGCAAGAATAATAAAACTGCATTAACGTTTGTTTGTTTCGTTGTCAATGTACTTTCTTTCTCTTTATGTTTGCATTTTAAAAGACTAACTATAGATTATCGATAGAGCTTCTTTTCGCGGAACGATTTAAAATCGAAAGAAGCCACATGACTAATCATAATAATGGCTTTTTGTTTTTCGATTTAAACAAAAAGAAATTATTTGCGTCTTATATCGTTACTATTACTAATATTTTTCTTTATGATTTTCATGCAATGTGACTTGTAATGAACATCAGTTTAGTGATGCATAACATGTATACTGTTGCAAGATTATTACCATATGTAATCAATTTCTTCTTTTTTATTAACTAGAATAGGATGAATTCTACCACCATTTATATATACACTATTTACTACAACAAAATCATCCGTGTCGTCTTGAAATAGTTGTTCTGGTGTATAAAAAACAATAAACGGCACATTATTTGATAAAGAAATCATTTCACAAATTATTTATTTTAATATGAAAATAAACTTTCAATATATGTAAAGTATATAGAGTTCCTCAACATCTCATTTTTTGAGAAAGTTAATTTTTTCAATTGCTATCAACAATTGAAATAGTCATTTGCACCTTTATGCATACACAATTATTTCTTTTTTGTTCAACAATAGTATTTCATACTCAAATTATGAAAAGATTTCTTAATATTCTTGTGCTTTTTGAAAGCTATTTTCAATCAAACACTTCCCTTTTTCCAACAGAAATCAAGAACGTTCTTACAATAATTCATTGTCGTAATGGAATTCATTATCTAAAATAAATTAGATTAGTTAGAGAAGTTTCTTTGATCTTACTTTCATCTATATTAAGTGTACAGTGTTTGTTTCAATCATTAATATGATGTCTGACAAAAGAGTGTAAAAGAAAAAATAATTCGGCGAAAGGATTGTATTTGTCTCTCTACCTTTATTCGGTGAAAAAAAATGTCGCCAACACATCAGCAAGCTGCAGTAATGGTGTAGACAGAAGCAAGAATAAGTTGGAAAGAATAATAATAAAATGGATTAGATTGTTGGCTTGTATTTTGTTCGTTCTTTCAATAATATTACCAACAAATTTGTTTGTTTTGATCAGTTTTTTGTTTTGCACAATATTATTTTCAAACGTAACTACGTGCAGTTCGTCCTTGAGCGACAACAGAAACACGTAAACATTCTAAGTCGCCGAAAAATCGAAAAAAACAAGCCGCTGCCTGTATAAAGAAGACCGGTGATCTTTTTTCATTCAAACAACAAAGTCTACGGACAAGTTTACCTTCAACAACAAATTATCATAAGATCAAAATGAGAGGATCAAAATCAAATCAAAATGCTGCTGCATCATTAAATATTCGCCAACCACGACAACGTATGGCACAAAATTACCTTCTCCTATGGGTGGATGCTAGCATCGACCAAGCAGACAAGGACTGCCAGGATACGCTGGCTCAATTGAAGAATGTGATCAATGATGTTAACTTATGCACAGAACCGAATCAGTGCATCAAAGCACTCAACACGGTTGACAAGCAACAAGCCTTTGTCATAACATCAGGTTCATTAGGTCAACATCTGGTTCCTGAAATTCATGGCATGCCACAGCTAGATGCGATTTACATATTTTGTGCCAACAAATCCAAACATGCGGCATGGACTCAAAACTGGAAAAAAATTAAAGGTGTCCATACAAATATTAAAGACATTTGTCAAGTATTACAAATGGCGGTTAAACAATGTGGCCAAGATTCAATTGCCGTAAGTTTTCTTACGGTAAATGAAATGGCTTCAACTAATAATTTAAATCAGTTGGAGCCAACTTTCATGTATACACAACTATTCAAGGAGATTCTCCTTGATATTAAATATGATGGCAAGGCAATCGAGGACTTAACAGAATGTTGCCGCGAAGTTTTTACTGACAATTCAAGTGAATTACAAGTGATCGATGAATTCGAACGTGACTATGATCCACAAAAAGCAATATGGTGGTATACACGTGAGTGTTTTACCTACAAAATGCTCAATCAAGCACTTCGAACTATGGATGCTGATATAATCATCAATATGGGCTTCTTTTTACGTGATGTACATACACATATTCAACAACTGTACGAACAACAAGTCAGTAGTTATCGAAGAAAAACTTTTGAAGTTTATCGAGGACAAGGTCTTCTGAAATCCGACTTTGAGAAACTTCAGAAAGCAACAGGTGGACTTATGTCATTTAACAGTTTCTTATCCACCAGTTCAGATAAAGAAGTGTCCCTCAGTTTTGCTCAACGTGCTTCAACAGAATCAAATAAGGTGGGCATTCTTTTTATAATGTCCATTGATCCTTGTTTGAAATCAACACCATTTGCCTCCATCAAAGAGAAGAGTTATTTTAAGGGAGAAGAAGAAATTCTCTTTTCAATGCACACCGTGTTTCGAGTGAATACAATTAAACAAATGGACAATAAGAATCAACTTTATCAAGTTGAATTACAATTAACGTCGGATGATGATCAACAACTACGATTACTTACTGATCGGATGCGAGAAGAAGCTGGTGGTGGTAGTGGATGGAAGAGATTGGGTAACTTATTGCTTAGAATTGGTCAATTTAATAAAGCTGAAGAACTTTATAGCGTATTACTCAAACAGACATCTGATGATGGGGAAAAAGCGCATCATTATAATCAGCTGGGATTAGTGCATTCGAATCAAGGTGATTATGAAAAGGCTCTTTTGTATTACGAACAAGGACTTGAAATTAAACAAAAAACTCTTTCTTCAAATCATCCTAATATGGCTACTTCATACAACAATATAGGTACTGTGTATTATAAGATGGGAAAGTACTCGAAAACACTTTCATTTTACGAAAAAGCACTTGAAATTCAACAAAAAACTCTTTCTTCAAATCATCCTGACCTGGCTGCTTCATACAACAACATCGGTTTGGTGTATCACGACATGGGAGAGTACTCAAAAGCACTTTCATTTTACGAAAAAGCACTTGAAATTCAACAGAAATCTCTTCCTGCAAATCACCCTGATTTGGCTACTTCATACAACAACATCGGTGATGTGTATGATAGCATGGGAAAATACTTGAAAGCACTTTTATTTTACGAAAAAGCACTTGAAATTCGAGAAAAAACTCTTCCTTCAAATCATCATGGTTTCGCGCAATCATACAACAGCATCGCTGGTGTATATCGCAGTATGACAGACTATTCGAAAGCACTTTCATATTACGAAAAGGCACTAAAAATCTTTCAAAAAACTCTTCCTTCAAATCATCCTGATTTGGCTACCTCATACAACAACATCGGAAATGTGTATAACAAGATGGAAGAGTACTCGAAAGCACTCTCATCTCACGAAAAAGCACTTGAAATTAGACAAAAAACACTTCCTTCAAATCATCCTGATTTGGCTACATCATACAACAATATCGCTGGTGTATATCACAGTATGACAGACTATTCAAAAGCACTTTCATTTTATGAAAAAGCACTTGAAATTCGGGGAAAAACTCTTCCTTCAAATCATCCTGATTTGGCTACTTCATACAACAACATCGGTTTCGTGTATGACAACATGGGAGGGTACTCACAGGCACTTTCATCTCACGAAAAAGCACTTGAAATTCGGGAAAAAACTCTTCCTTCAAATCATCCTTCATTGGCTACTTCATACAAGAACATTGGTGTTGTATATCTCAATATGAAAGACTATTCGAAAGCACTGTCATATTATGAACGTGCTCAGGACATAAACCAGCGTGCATTACCTCCAACTCATCCTCATATAAAAATTATGAATGACAGTATTGCATTTGTAAAAATATGTATAACATTAGAGGAAATATCAACTCGTAACCCGAAAACCCAGTAAAACGTGAAAAAAAGCTGGGCTTTCGTAACCGGCCCTTACGAGTTGATACTTTCTCTAAAATTAATTGATAAATGAAAGAATATTTTGTTCACTTATTTTTGAATTAATTCTAGTTTATAGTGTCTCACGCGCGCATACAGAGAACAACTCTGTAAATAATAAAAATGTAATGGACAAAGCCGACTGATAAGGTAATACACGTACATATATGTATGTGTATAAATGACCTTCTCAGACATATTTGCATTTCTAATCCTTTACGAGTGTTCTCTGTAATAAAAGAAGCATAACTTATATGGAATCCAATTGTAATAGTGTTGAACGAGACCTCGTATGATGAAGAAAAAGTGAGAAAACTGCGATATATATACCGATATGTTATCAAAACATGATCTAGTTGAATTAATCAATGAGTATTCATCATTAATAAGAAAGAAATGAGAAGAACAATCATTTGTTTATGCTTTGTTGATCAATTTAGACACATTAAAGATATGATGAATTATAATTTATTTTATAATGTAGAAAAGTTAACTAAAGTCTTCTGATCTCGGATTCAGATTAACAGAGAAATTGTTTGACGATATATCTTAGAATGATTTCTCAATATTTAATGGCTATCACACTTAATTGTTTCACAGAGAACACTGTAAATTATAGCAATTGATCAATTAAATTAAATGTATGCGAAAGAACAACTGATCTTTACAACAAAGAAACATTTGAGATATTTATTAAGTTTTTGAATCATTTAAGTTAATATATTTCTACTGACGATATTTATATTTATTAGAAATGATTGAATGTTATTCTCTACTTTTATATTCCGAGATCGAACATGAACAATAGTCAACGATCTTTTATGAAAAAAATGTAGATATACGACTATACGATAATGAACAGTTTAATAAATAATATACTTTTATCTATTTTGCATTATTCTTTTTTCAGGATACTGTCGTAAATCACGAAGGCTACTAAGTAATTTTAATTACTTTACTTCATTTATAGAAGGGTGTGGGTGTTGGTATGAGCGCGTCTGTAGATGCATGTTTCCTAGACTGTAAGGATAGGGTCTAGAAACGGGAATTATCTATTTACATGTATTATTTTTTTGTCAATAACATGGCACAAATGACCATTTTTTTGGCGCAAATGATCGTGTAACTATGGCATATTTTTGATCATATAATTTTATTTGAATAGCATAATATTCAATATATAATATTTTATTTAATTGTATGAAAAGAGCGCGAACTTAAATATTTGAAATATTTCTTAATTTTATATACAGATCATTATTTTATTGAATAAATTAAAATAATGAGGCAACGCCAATTTTATTTTTAATATGGAGGTAGATGAAAATAATATTAATAACAAAAATAACGAAACGTTCGTATAAACAAAGTATTATAAAGCTTTAAAAAAAACATTCGGCTATTTTTATATAGCACCTCGTTCATTATCATCGACAAATATTGTCAATGCATGTTTGAAAAAACGATGATGTATCGAAACGTTCTATACGACGACTCAGGAATAAGTTGGACAGTTTAATTGTCTTGCTATAGTGCATATAGATAAAAGAGTTCAAAATCAATTTTGAAATATTATGATAAAGAAATCCTACTTTTTATAAAATTGACTCTAATAAAAACTAAAGCATTTTTAAACTTTATATTCATTCGTCAAAATATCAAACTTATAAAACGCTTGGTTTTATATTAAATCCATAATTATGTTAGAATAAAAAGAATTATAAATTATCAAAACATGTTATAACGATTACGAAATATGTGATCGAGTGATAGGTAAAAGGAAGTGCGACAAGAAAAATATCATAAGAAACTGAGTCATATGACGTGTTTTGAGAGTGTCGAAATATTTATTGTAATTGCTCAAGAGTTATGTATATTATAAAAAGCTAAGAAATATTAAAAGAGAACAAATGATTTTGATTTGTGTTTAATAATATGCGACGAGATGGAAAATATAAGAGTAATAAAACGATTCGATATTGCAAATATTGTTCTGGAGAAATAGTACATAGTGATTCATCAAATAATATGTCATTAGACAAAAAAAAACGTTGGCAATTGATCGAATTCTTAAAAAAATATAGTCAATCATCAAATGATATCAATAAACTAGTTACTCGTCGTTGTTATAATTTCTATATGTATAATGGTTATTCTTGGCATTCAAAATATAAACGAAGCCCACTAAAACATTTGAGCTTTGCAAAAAGACCAGATTTTGTTTATCAACCTTATGTTAGATATGTTACAGTTAATCAAAATATTTTCAATTTAATTTTTCAAGATGGATTGCAAGTTTACAGAAATGAAAAAAAATTATTAGAACTATTTGATATTGATTCAACAGATATTACTGTGACTGTTATTTATTTTATGGATGGTCCGAAACATTGGTTTCCAAATGATTGGAATAATGCATATAAACATGCATTCGGAGGTTCTTTAGCCGATTTTTATATGGGTTGTACGGGTGATTATTGTTCTTTTGGACCAAAAGCTCATGGATTAAAAAAGATAGATTCTAGAATTGATCAAATATTATTTGTAAATACAAGTAATGAACGACAAGGACGAATGGGATGCTGTCAGCGTGTTGCCTGGAAGTATCTATCATGTTTCAAAGGAGATGTCTACAAAGAAGAGCGACGTCGTAAAAAAAGTCAACGACGTGAAGGAAATAGACTGACTAAAAATACAATTTCAACTAAAAATTTCTTTTGAATGAAGTTCTTTTCAAATAATAAATAGCATATAATGTTCATCTCATTATTTAATTCACATCTTCGAGTTAAATATTTCATTTAATGATATTATTTTTCAAACAAAAGTTATTAAAAATTATCTTGTTAGTTTTCCTGGAGAAGAAAAGCATACAGTCATTAGTCCATATCCTTTACATCCAACACCCGCTGTTCCATACCAAGCACCATCGATAGCTACAATGAATTTTCCAGTTTCAGCACCCCAATCTTTAAGTATACCAATATTTCGAAATTCTACAGTTGAATCTTGTTTTAGATCATAATGACTAAAAACCGAACCTGCTATATGTTCACTTATTGGAATAATTCGACCATCCATTGGATATACATCAAATGACCAAGTACAACCAATATTTGGTGGATAAATTGTTATTTTAAGTGTTATTAGAGTTTCTGGACTGAATGAACTTGCATCAATTCGATATTGACTATAACCAAAAAATGGTTTTTGTGGTGTTATATATTCTACAGATTGATTAATACATGAATATAATGAAGTATTTGAAATAATAATTATCGGATGAGTATCTCCTTGTCTTCTTGTCGCTACATAGATAATTATCATAATCAATGTTGAAATAAAACATATAATTGCAATAACAATACTAATTATTAGAATAAATTTATTTCGACGTTGTTCTTGAACATGTTCAACTAAATTAATCGTTGATGATGATTGACATGAAATATTCATATTAGCGAAATTCATTTTGTTTTCAATAAAATAAAATTATATCACTCATATAGACATGTTTTTATATTAAAGAATCAGTGAAGCGTATCTTTTCTTTTTCATATAAACATCTTATAACGGTCAAAAAACAAAATGTACTTTTATTTTGATATATTTTAGAATGGGTAATTCAAAATCAAAAGAAATAAAGAATAATTCAATTGATATGTCAAATGTTCATTTCTATGATCGTTTACAAAATTCTACCAATGAAACAAATAAATAATAATAATTGTCAACATTTTTTCTTGGAAATCGATAGAATAAGAAATGAAAATTTTCGAATCTTAGTTATTTTATCTGATTCATTAACAAAAAATCTTCCAAAAACTCAACAATAATTATTTTTTGTGAAGATTCAACAAAATATTTGAATATATCCCGTCAATATTCAAATGTCGTTGATGTATGTACTGATCATGAATTATTAAAGAGTTCAATTGAAAATGAAATATCATCATTAAAATCAGTTCAGTCATTAACATTTTCCGAAGATTTAACAAATTGTGATGCATTTTTTTCATATATTTTCTTTCTTAAATTATTAAAAACAAATGCCACAAACAAAACAAGCAAAAGATCTTATGTTAAATAAATGTCAAGATTATTATCGTAATACATATCAATCAGATGAAGCTATTCATTGGTATATTAAAGATTCATTTATTTATCGTTTAGTTAATCGTGCATTTCGGACAGAAAATATAACATTATGGTATTTATTTCGTTTTTATATTATTGATCTTTGTAAACAATTAGAATTAATTCATAAAGAACAAAATATTCAAACATCATTAATACTTTATTGTGGTCAAAGTCGAATGTCAATTAACGAATTTAATTATTTAAAATCAAATATTGGTTCATTTATTTTAGCAAATGGATTTTTTTCATCAACAACTGATATTCAAATTGCGAATAGTTTTCTTTTTAGTACAATTAATACAGAAGATTATAAAGTTATTTTATTTAAAATTATTGTTGATATTGATAAATATGTTGGATATGTCGGTGAATGTGAAATTTTATTTAGTATTAGTTCAATATTTCAAATAGAAAATGTTGATTTTAATAATGAATTAGACGTTTGGCAAATTTATATAAAAGCAATTGAAACAATAAGAAAAAGATGTGGAAATAAAGAAAATATTAATTTAATATTTGGTAATTTATTAATTGACATTAATTTATGATCATTCAGCTGATCTTTTTATGAAAATAACAAATTGGAATGAAGCTTTGAAATATTTTAATTTATTATTTGAATTAAAAAAGAAAAATCTTTATTTCTATCAATCAAATATTTCAATAACACTTAATAGATCAAGCATATGAATATTATTATCAAGCTATGAAATATTCAAATAATAATCAATATAATATGGCTATTATTCATAGTAATATATCAACAATTGATTTAATTAATAAAAACTATGAAGAAGCTTTAGAATTTTCAATGAATCAACTTTTATGGTATGAAAAATATTTTCCTGATTGTTATTTAAGTATTGCTAATATTTATATGGAAAGAAGTCAATTATATGATTATAATCATTCAAATCATATTTCTTATTTAGAAAAATCATTAAATATATTTGAAAATAATATTCATATTCAATATTTAATAACATATCAATGTTTTAGTTTTATTGTGAATTATTATTCAAACACAATCAATCATTCATGATATACTAATAGAAATGTAATTAGAAAATCTTTATTCTATTTATGAATTATGATTTTATTTCTTATTACTATCCGTGAGTGGGTGTGGGTGTGGGTATCAGTCATATGGATATGATGCAGCGACACCCACACCCATCCTCAAGATTTTCTTCTGTGACAATAATCGCTAATACAACCGAATTCACAAGTTTCTATTTTCCTTTCTAAAGATTTTCTATGATCCAACCTTAACACAAATGTACTTTATATGATGTCTCATATATAGAATACAATTGGGATTCACAGAAATCAAAATAAACTATGACTACAGTGCATACTTATAGATCGATGTTTTATCCAGTGAAAAAGCCAAGGAGGTCACACCCTCATGAGATTTTCTCATTTAACATCTGACACTTTATGTTTGTCGTCATGAAAACAGACTTCTATGTCTCAAAAAAAAAAAAAACTTGCATAAAACACTATTGTATATGTTTGGGTAAAAGCTGAACATCTAACGGTGTAAAAAGCGAATGAGTCAGTGCCTACAGTTACTCCACGTATTCACTTGTAGTTATTGACGAGTCAATGTATGTCTAACTGACTATTAAGCAACGTGTATAAGGAACAGAATAGAGAAAAGAAAAAAAGAAAAGAAAAGAAAAGAAAAAGCATATTATTGCACTATAACAAACTAATTTTTATTAAAGTTGAATAAAAACTTAGAGAGAATAACAAGTATATACATTGATGGCATCATACATTCGTACAATACTTGGTAAATTATTTGGTAAATCCGAATATCGAACATTAATTATGGGCCTTGATTCGGCTGGTAAAACAAGTATTCTTTATAGATTAAAATTGAATGAACATGTTACGACAATTCCTACAATTGGTTTCAATGTAGAATCAGTCATATTTAACAAAGCTTCGATGACAATGTGGGACCTTGGAGGACGTGATAAAATTCGTCCTTTATGGCGACATTATTTTTATGGTACACAAGGACTTATTTTTGTTATTGATTCGCACGATGTCGAACGATTGAATGAGTCGAAAGATGATATGGATCGTATGCTAGGAGAAGATGAATTGAGAGACATACCTTTATTAATCTATTTGAATAAAATTGATTTACCGAATGGATTAAAACAAGAATATGCTATCAAAGAAATGAAATTAAATGATATTAGAAATCGTCAGTGGTACGTACAATCATGTTCTGCTTACACAGGTGATGGTGTACACGAAGGTTTAGACTGGCTAATGCGTGCAATGAAATCTCACCTCTCTTCTCAATCAACAACTTCTACAGCTGTAAACAATGTCAGTCAAGTTGAAAATTAATTGTTACAATGGTTATCTCAAGTAGATAATGATACAAATGAAGAATTTGCTGAAAAATTTGTCGAACATGATTTATTAAGTGAAACATTTGATCATCGTACATTAATTAGAATTATTTGGTGTTATTTAAAGATATTTGGTCGAAAAGAAACAATTAAATCAGTATTTGATAATATGAATTTTTATCTTAAAAATGTAAATGAAACATTAATTTATTTTTGGATTCAAATTGTTCATTATGCTTGTGAAGCAACAAAAAATCCAACAAATGATTTCTCAGGATTTTTATTAATGAATCCACAAATTCTAAATGAAATTGATTTACCATTGACTTATTATAAAAAAGATACATTATTCAGTAATCAAGCTAAAACAGCAGTTGTCTTACCAGATATTAAACCATTACCAAGTATCATACCTTCATCAAGTTCTACTAATAATAAGATAAAGACACAATCTCTTCGTGAATTTGATGATGATGAATTATTAAAAGAATTTGAATCATGTACATTGACATGTTGGTCTCATAAAATTCATTTACATATAACATGGCTTTATTTAACACGTGATGGTCGTCGGATTGGTGTTAATAAAATATTTGATAATATGAAAAATTTTCTTCAATCTAATCAAATATCACAAATGATTAAATTTCATTTTACATTGACTTATTTTTGGATTCAAATGGTTGATTTAACTATTGCACAAAATAATTCAAACGATCTAAATTTTAAAGAATTTATTGAGAAAAATCCACATCTATTGAATGAAAATTTATTCTTAGATTATTATAAGAAAAAAACAATATTAGATAATCCAATTGCACAAGAACAAATGGTTTTACCTGATATTAAACATTTACCAACATTGGTTACATCTAATAACAAAAAATAATTCCGTTTATTAATATTAATTAAAGATATTTGTTAAACAGTTAACAACGATTTTATCAATATATTTTTTCATCAAAAAACATTTTCTCACAATAAAATTCATTCTGTAATAGAATTAAAATGTTTTATATTCCCAAATGTTATCACATACTGAGTAATTCATTTTTTCTTAATTTTTTTACCATTCTACTATGAATATTTCTTGATTTATATTCGAACCTATGTATTCATTGGAACATGTCACTATTTAGATAATCAAGATAATATAAATATGATTTAATTTTATAAGTAGCTTTTAGCCACTCGTGACTATTCATACTTATTATAAAGAAAGAAAAGAAAATGGAAAATGATACAAAATTTGTCGAGACCACACTAAAACTAAAAAAGACTTTTAATCTTTTTAACGAAATCGATACCATCTTGAGGGTGGGTGTGTGTATTTCTGTCATTCATTACCCACTCCCTCAAGATTGAAAAAATTGTTCTGGTATACAAAAAACAATAAACGGCACATAACTTGATAAAGAAATCATTGCACGAATTATTTATTTTAATATGAAAATAAATTTTCATCTAAATATTTCACAGAGAAGCTTTGTCTAACTTCAAATAATATATTATTTGATGAAGTATTCAAGAAGACTCTTTTCTCATGTAAGGTATATGGTTCTTGAGTACCTCGTTATTTTTAGAGCGTTTATTTCTCAATTACAATCAATAAATAAAATAGTCATTTGCACCTTTATGAATACAAAATAATTCCTTAATATTTTTTGAATTTTTTAAAAACTATTCTCAATAAAGTTCTTCAATGATCTTGTACGAAACACTTTGCTTATTTTAACAGAAGACAATGAAGTTTCTTCGATCCTACTTTCATGAATGTTAAACCTACAGTTATTTTTTCCATTTATTGGCATAATGTTTAAAACATGCTCTATGTGCAAACTTTCTCAAAGCTTTTTTCATTGTTTCTTTCTATAATAAATTTCATACATTTATCAAAGAGTGTAAAAGAAAAAATAATTTAGTGAAAGAATTGTATTTCTCTTTCTACCTTTATGTGATGAAAGAATGTCGCCTACACATCAGCAAACTGCAGTAATAGTGTACACAAAAGTAGGAATAAGTTGGAAAGAATAATAATAAAATCCATTCGATTGTTAGCTTCTGTTTTGTTCGTTCTTTCAATAATATTACCAACAAAGTTGCTTGTTTTGATCTGTTCTTTGCTTAGCACAATATTATTTTCAAACGTAACTACATGGAGTTTGTTTCTTGAGCGACAACAAAAACACATAAAAACATTCAAAGTCGCCGAAAAATCGAGAAAAACAAGTCACTATCTATATAAATAGAAGATACTAGCTTTAGCTTTCCATTAAATCAAATATTATCAGTTTCATTAAACGCAACATGGGTGCGCAAAAATCAAAAGAAAATGTTACGACAACATCAAAAACAACAGCATCATCAAATATTCGGCAATCACGACAACGCATGGCACAAAACTACCTTCTCATCTGGGTAGATGCCAGCATCGATGAAGGAAAAACAGATTGCCAAGACACACTCACTCAATTGAAAAATGTGATCAATGATGTCAATTTATGCACGGAATCGGAACAATGCATCCAAGCACTCAATAAAGTTGACAAGGAGCAAGTCTTTGTTATAACATCTGGCTTATTAGGTCAACATCTGGTTCCTCAAATTCATGGTATGTCACAGCTAGATGCCATTTACATCTTTTGTAGCAACAAATCCAGACATGAGACATGGACTCAAAACTGGAAAAAAATTAAAGGTGTCCATACAAACATCAAAGAAATTTGTCAAGCATTACAATTGGCGGTTAAACAATGTGACCAAGATTCAATTGCCGTAAGTTTTCTGACGATAAATGAAATGGCGTCAACTGATAATTTAAATCAGTTGGAGCCAACTTTTATGTGCACACAGCTATTCAAGGAGATTCTCCTTGATGTTGAATATGATCACAAGGCAATCCAGGATTTAGCAGTTTGTTGCCGTGAAGTTTTTACTGACAATCCAAGTGAATTACACCTGATTAATGAATTCGAACGCGACTATCGTCCACAACAAGCAATATGGTGGTATACACGTGAGTGTTTTACCTACAAAATGCTCAATCAAGCACTTCGAATGTTGGATGCCGATGTAATCATTAATATGGGCTTCTTCTTACGTGATGTACATCAACAAATTCAACAACTGTATAAACAACAGGTCAGTAGTTATCGAAGAAAATCTTTTCTAGTTTATCAAGGACAAGGTCTTATGCAATCAGATTTTGAGAAACTTCAGAAAGCAGAAGGTGGTCTTATGTCATTTAACAATTTCTTGTCTACCAGCAAAGACAAGAAAATATCTCTCGAATTTGCTGAAGATGCTTCCAAAAAACCGAATATGGTTGGCATTCTTTTTATGATGTCCATTGATCCTTGTATTAAATCAACACCATTTGCCTTCGTCAAAGAGGTGAGTGCTATTAAGAGAGAAGAAGAAATTCTCTTCTCAATGCATACTGTGTTTCGAGTGAATGTAATTAAACAAATAGACAGTAACAATCAACTTTATCAAGTTGAATTACAATTAACATCGGATGATGATCAGCAATTACGATTGCTTACTGATCGAATACGAGAAGAAGCTGGTGGTAGTACTGGATGGGAAAGATTGGGTGACCTATTGCTTACAATTGGTCAATTTAATAAAGCTGAAGAACTTTACAATGTATTAGTCGAACAGACATCTGATGAGAGTGAAAAAGGGCTTTATTATCATCAGCTGGGATGTGTCAAAGATGGTCAGGGTGATTATGAAAAGGCTATTTGGTATTACGAAAAAGCACTTGAAATTGAACAAAAAACTCTTCCTTCAAATCATCCTGATTTGGCTATTTCATACAACAACATCGGTTCGGTGTATGACAAAATGGGAGAGTACTCGAAAGCACTTTCATATCACGAAAAAGCACTTAAAATTCGAAAAAAAACTCTTCCTACAAATCATCCTTCATTGGCTGCTCCATACAACAACATCGGTTTGGTGTATTCCAAGATGGGAGAGTACTCGAAAGCACTTTCAT